ATGAAGTCAAGACAGTCTCTTCAATAAATAGTGTTGGGAAATTGGAAAGCTACATGGAAAAAATGAAACTAGACCACCAACTTATATCATACATAAAAATAAACTCAAAATGGATAAAGGACTTAAACGTAAGACAGGAAACCATAAAAAATCTAAGAAGAATCCGTAGATAGCAAAATATCAGACATCTCGTAGCAATATCTTTACCAATACAGTTCCTAGGACAATGGGAACTAAGGAGAAAATAAACAAATGGGACTCCATCAATATAAAAAGCTTCTGCACAGTAAAAGAAACTATCAACAAAACAACAAGAAAGCCCACTGCATGGGAGAACATATTTACCAATGTTATATCTGACAAAGGTTTAGTCTCCAAAATTTACAGGGAACTCATACATCTTAACAAAAGGAAGATAAAACAATCCAATCATAATATGGGCAAAGGACCTAAATAAACACTTTTCAAAAGAGGACATACAGACGGCAAAGAGATATATGAAAACATGCTCAAAGTCACTACTCATCTGAGAGATGCAAATCAAAACAACAATGAGGTACCAACATCTCACACCTGTTAGAATGGCTATCATCCACAAAGCAACAAACCACAACTGCTGGTGAGGATGTGGAGAAAAAGGAACCCTCATGCACTGCTGGTGGGAATGCAAACTGTTACAGCCACTGTGGAAAACAGTATGGAGTTTTCCTCAAAAAATTAAAAATGTAACTCACATTTGACCCAGTAATCTCACTTCTAAAAATATATCCCAAAAAATCAGAAACACCAATCAGAAAGGATATATGCACCCCTATGTTCATAGCAGCACAATTCACCATAGCTAAGATTTAGAAACAGCCTAAGTGCCCATAGGCAGATGGTGGATTAAAAACTGTGGTACATATACACAATGGAATACTATGCTGTTGTAAAAAAGAAGGAACTCTTACGATATGCAACAGCATGGATGGACCTGGAGAGCATTATGCTAAGCGAAATGAAATAAGCCAATTGGAGAACGAGAAATGTCACCTGATCTCACTCATTTGTGGAATATAATGAACAACATAAACTGATGAAAATAGAGCTAGAGTTATAAAAAAAACAGACTGTCCAACCTAAGAGGGAAGGTGGGTGGGTGGGTAAGAGATCAACCAATGGATTCTATGCATGCATCTGAGCATAACCAATGGACACAGACAGAAGGGGGGAGGTGAGTGAGAGCATGTGCTGGGGGATGGGAGCGGCTGGGAAGAGGTCAATGGGGGGAAAAGTGACTTATGTAATACTTTAAACAATAAAAAAATTTAAAAAAAGAAAGCAAGGGAATAAAGGCATTAAAATAAGTATACATATAAAGATAATCTTTCAAGAAAAGCTATAAAATTTCCAAATACCACAAGGAACTTAAAAAAGGAACAAGGGAAACATATCATGTAGAGGAAGAAGCAAAGAAAATATAACATAATTTGCATATTAATCATAAAGTGACAGATGTGAGACCAAAAATATAAATCATATAAAAATGGATTTAACTTGCTTAATAAAAGAAAAAGATTTTCAGTTTGACTCACATAGCAAGACCCATGTATATGTTGTACTCAAACATATAGTAAAACAAAAAGTTTCAGAAAATTAAAGATATATGAAAATTAGAATTTAAACCAAAAAGCATTAATTCAAATGATGATAAAACATTTATGAATATATATTTATCAAATAACCCAGTGACTACTTTTATAAAGCAAAAGCTGCAAAAAATGGAAGGAAATATAAAAACATTAATAATGGGAGACTTCAACATACCACAAGACAGATCAAGTGAACAAACTATAATCCACAAGAACAAAAGTTACTTGAGAATCTCAATAATGTTTGACAATACTAAAAGGGACCTTACCAAGAGAGGTTGAAAACGCTAGTACAGAAACTCAAAAACAGACCAAGTAGTTATGGAACTTTATTATTCACTAGAAGGCAAAGGTGAATTTTTTATTAAGTAGAAATAAGAAATCTGATAATCCATTGGGAAAAGCAAAAATTAGGTCCCTATCTTAAAATACAACAAACTCCAAATGAATGGGGATAAAGATGCAAAAATGAAATCATACAAATACTAGAAGAAAAGAGTGAATTTCTCTTGACCCAGCATTCAGTGAAAGCTTTTCTACCTATGATTCAAAGTCAAGACACAATGAAAGATTGACAGACTATATGAAAAATTATTTTCTATAACTCCACACATGAAACAACAACAAAAAACTATAAGCAACATCAAAAGACAAATTAAAAAAGGGAGAAAATATATGCAAAATATATCATAGAGTTAATATCATTAATATGTAAAAATTTCAGGAGAAAAAAAACCCCTGCAATCTGTCAGAAAAGGTAAAACAGTATGAATAGATAATTCACAAAAATAAAAAATATAAAAATTAAGGCATTATTGCCAGAACCGGTTTGGCTCAGTGGATAAGAGCGTTGGCCTGCGGACTGAAAGGTTCGATTTTGGTCAAGGGCATGTACCTTGGTTGCTGGCACATCCCTGGTAGGGTATGCAGGAGGCAGCCGATTGATGTTTCTCTTCCATCGATGTTTCTAACTTTCTATCCCTCTCCCTTCCTCTCTGTAAGAAAACAATAATATTATATATATATATATAATCGATTTTTTTACAGAGAGGAAGGGAGAGGGATAGAGAGTTAGAAACATCAATGAGAGAGAAACATTGACCAGCTGCCTCCTGCACACCCCACCGGGGATGTGCCTGCAACCAATTTACATGCCCTTGACCGGAATCGGACCTGGGACCTTTCAGTCCTCTATCCATTGAGCCAAACCGGGTTGAGCAATAAAATGTATTTTTTTAAAAATTAAGGTATTATTAAATATGAGAAGATATTCAACCTGACATAAAATAAGAAAGGTACGCTGACCATAGTGGCTCAGTTGATTGGACATCATCCCAAGCACCAAAAGGTCACCAGTCTGATTCTCTGTCAGTGCACATTTACAGGTTGCAGGTTTCATCGCTTATCAGAGTACATATAGGAGACAACCGATCAGTGTTTCTCTCTCACATCGATGTCTCTCTCTCTCTTTTTCTCAAAATCACTAAAAATTTAAAAAATTAAAAACAATGAAAAATCAACAAATATAAATGAAAACTACACTGAAATACCATTGTTTTCCTACCAATATGACAAAATTGTTTTTGAAAAAGGACACATGCTGAGTTTAGGCTCAGAAAATAGAGACTCTCATAGTTTCCTTGCAGAAACACCATTAACAAAATTATATATCAATTTACCTTTTGATCCAGCAATTCCACTTCTAGGACTATATCCTGAAGACCCAAACCCAACAATGTTAAAATAAATATATAGGTACAAAGCTAGTCACTGCAGCATTATTTATATTTGTAAAATTCTGAAAATAATGTGTATGTTTACACACAGGATAGTGAGTTGAATAAGTTATGTTACATTCATACAGCTGTAAAGAGGGAAAACCAAAAACACAGATCTTTATGAACTGATTATGAAATTTCCAAAATATAGTGTAAAAAATATAATGTGCCAAAAAAATGTGTAATAATCAAGGAGAGAAAAAAACATAGATGTATCAGCTCATTTATGCAAAAATAAAGGATTAATAAACCATAGGTTAAAAAATAAAAAGCAACAGGGATGGGGTGGTGAAAAGGACCATAAAATGGAATACAAACAGAAGGGGGAAAAAAAGACCTGAACTGTATTTCAAATGAATTACATAACCACACTGAGGTGAGGAAGGGGGAGGGAGAAGTAACCCAAATAACTTTTATTATTTAAAAAAAAATCTTTATTGTTGAAAGTATTATAGAAGTCCTGCTTTCTCCCCATTAACTACTTCTAGCCTGTCCCCACTCTCCACCCCAGGCCTTCATCCTATAACTTTTAAACACAATTTTTGAATTATATATTACATTCATGGTAAACTACACAAAGGCATAGGTTAATTCTAAAACTGCTTTCATTTTCCTAGAACTGCACAAAGTAAACATATTGTGGATAAAGGAAGCTAAGTTTCTCTTTGTTGGAGCAGTTACAAACATGGAAAGGGGGAAAACTAGACTGAACCTTGTGCTGTTAAGTTAGAATCAAAGGTGTCAGGATAAACTCATGATGTTTAAATAATATAAGACAGTAAAGAAATATATATGTAAATACAGGGTGTCCCCTCCCAAAAATATATACACACTTTGAATAACTATAAAGGCATAATGGGTGAAATCTGAGAAGGAACATCACATCAATTGAGCTGTCAGCTGTTAATTAAGTGTACATACATTTTTTGGAGACACTTATATAAAATACACACACATACACACAATATATATATATATAAAATATATTTGTGAGTATATACATATATCTACTTTCTAGCTCTATCTGCTGAAAGGGCCTAAAATAATGGCAACCCAATGACATTGTACACACCTAGCTCCCAGATCTTAATTTCAAAATAATTATATATGGATAGAGTGTCCTTCAATGTTCCTTACAACCCCGAGATTCAAAAACTTTATCAAATGACCATGATTAACTTAAAATTTGGCTGAAAATACAACTTGTTACACTTATAGAAAGCTATATCTCACATTACAGTCTATTTTAATTAATTAATTTATCTTTATTATTGAAAGTATTATATATGTCCCACTTTCCCCCCATTAATTCCTTTCAGTTAGTCCCCATCCCCTGCCCCAGGCTTTCATCACTAATTGTCTGTGTCCATGGGCTATGCATCTATACATACAAGGCCTTTGGTTGATTACCTCATACCCACCTATCCTCCCCTGCCTTCCCTCTGAGATTCCACACTGTTCCATGACAGTCCATTTTAAATACAAGATGAATTAATATTTACCAGATAAATATATATATAACTTTGCAATTTTAAAATATAAGTATTTTACTATGTAAGAATATTAAATAGCAAAAAATGTTTTTAATTACCCTCTTGTCCATTTCATAAGATGAAGCTTCTGTACTTGGCAAAAGATGGGTAATAGTGGCTATCAGGATCTATAGTCAAAAAGTAAAAAAAAAAAAAAAAAAAAGCACAAAATATATTAAACTAATGTTCATTCTAAAACATTACTGTTAATGTAAAAATAATATAAAACCTATTGCTGTAAGGTTATTCTGAAACATTAACACTGTTATTTCAAGGTAATTTTTAATGTGTAAGCTTTTCAAGTATATTAACTATCAATTATTTACAATCTTCATGTATAGAACCAACATTATATGCTGTTAACTATGAATGGATTTCTCACAAACTCAACCCATGAATCAATATGTATAAATACTCAGATAATATGTTCTAATAGAAAATTAAAATATATAAAGAAAAGCAAAAAGATTTATAAAAATCTGCAATTCTGTCACTAACAATATCTACCCTACTCAACATATTAGGTATAGAAGGAATATACCTCAACATAAATAAAGGCTATAAGTGACAAGCCCACCGTTAATATCATATTCAGTTGTGAAAAACTAAAAAAAGCCTTTCATCTAATATTCAAGGAATATAAGGATGTCCACAATTGTCATTTCCATTCAACATGGTACTAGAAGTCCTACCATGGCAAGTGGGCAAATACATCAATAGCACCTGAATCTAAAAGGGAAAAGTACAATTATTTGTTTGCAGATTACATGATTTTATATATAGGAAACCCTAAACACCGCACCAAAAAAATTGTTACAAATATAAATGAATTCCATAAAATTGCAGGACACAAAATCAAAATACAAAAATCTCTTGCATTTCTATACCAAGCAACAAACCAACACAAAGAGAAATTAAGAGAGATATCCCAATTTACAATAGCATTAAAGTCAATAAAATAGGAATATTTTTAATTAATGAGGTAAAAGACCTGCACACTGAAAACGACAAAGTACTAATGAATGGAGAAAGTAGGTACTATATGATTCCACTTATATGTGGAATCTAATGAACAAAATGAACTAACAAAGGAAGTGGACAGATTCATGGATACAGAGAACAGACCGATAGCTGTCAGAAAAGTGGGGGTTGGGGCCTGCGTGAGAAGGGTGAAGGATTAAGGAAAAAGAAAAGAAAGTCACATGGGCACAGCAATTTTCACCTTTTCATTTAAAGGAAGCACTTTATAGCTTCTCTTGGGCATATCTGACTTGTCAGCATCACTATTCATACACTTTGCAGCCTTTGTTAAGTAAAATAAGGTTTAGTGAACACAGGCATTGTGATACCATGACAGATGATCGAATAACTGTGATGGCTACTAATGACTAATGGTTGAGTAGCATGTACGATGTGAATAAGCTGGATAAAGGGATGATTCATATCCCATTGGAGAGGGACAATGTGAGTTTTTATCACGCTACTCAGAACAGTGTAATACTTAAGACTTAGTCTAAATTGTTCATTTCTCAAATTTTCTATTTAATATTTTCAGATTATAATTGACCATGAATAATTAAAATTGCAGAGAGCAAAACTGTGGATAAAGGAGGACTACTGTAAATGGAAAGATATTCCATGTTATAGATTGGGAGAATTAATATTGTTTAATTGCTCATATCACCCACAGGGACTTACTCATTCAATACAATAAATTCCAGTGGCTTTTTTTCTCAGAAACAGAAAAAACTATTTTAAAATCTGTATGGAACCACAAAAAGTCATAAAGAGCCAAAGCCATCTTGAGAAAGAAGAACAAAGCTGGAGGCACCACACTTGCTGATTTCTGGTTAATTATAAAGCTATTTTAATAAGAACATGATGGTAAGGTACACAGGCACATAGAAAAGCAGATCAGAATAGACAGCCTAACATAAACCCAAACTTACAGTGTATGGAGAACGCATCTTTAACAAGTGCACCAAGAACACACACTGAGGAAGGGAAAGTCTCTTCTATAAATGGTGCTGGGAAAACTGATCCTGCAGGGCAGGCTGAGGGATCCCACTGGTGCACAAATTCGTACTTCAGGCCTCGTGTGTGTGTGTGCGTGTGTGTCCATACATTTACATGTATATTTATGTGACTTCAAGTTTACATAAACTGAATAATATATGAATAAATTTGATACAGAAATATCAAATGGTAACAGGCATTATTAAAAGGGAAAAATATAAATATACTGTGCTATTTACCCTAAAAATCTCTTTTTTTTTTTTTTTTTAAATCCTCACTTGAGGATATTTTTAGAGAGTAGAAGGGAAAAGGAGAGACAGAGAGAAACACTGATATGAGAGAGAGTGAGAGACATTGATTGGTTGGCTTCTTCATACCTCCCTCCCTACCAGGGCTGGGAGCTGCAACTGAGGTACCTGCGTTGACCAGTATCAAACCCCAAGATCCTTCAATCCGCAAGCTGATGCTCTATCCACTAAGCAAAACCGGCTAGGGCCACCATGGAAATCTCTTGATCACATTCAATTTTTTATGTGCTTGTTAAAAATGTATAGGGATAAATTTATTGTAAGCTATTTTTTACACCTCATTCTGTACATTGGTTCCCCAATGAGCCTGCCTCTGAGAGCCAGCTGCTTTTTGCTGGAAGCAGGCTGATGGTGGAGAACTCGGGACCTTGGATAAAGCCTTAGGGTGCTATATGTTTTTATAAATTATTGATTTAATGCATCAGGTAGAAAAAATCATCAAAATATCTATACTAATAAAAGAGAAACATGCAAATTAACTACCACACTGCCACACCCACAAGCCACACCCACCAGCCAATCTGGGGCAAGTATGCAAATTAACCCAGCCAAGATGGTGGCCAGCCACAGAGATGGAGCAAGCAGAAGGCTTGGGTTGCCCTGGCAATGGAGGAAGTCAAGCTTCCTGCCTGCTGTGGCCAGCGTTGGCCTCCATTCAAAGCTACAAAGTTTCAATTATAAAAGATAAATAAATCCTAGATACTTGCTTCTAGCAGGCCCTGGCCTCTGCTCAATGAGGCGCTGAAAAAAAAAAATGAAAAGAAAGAAAGAAAAAGAAAAAAAAGGAGGGTTGGGACCTTGGGTCGCCGGAGAAAGGGGGGGGGGGTGATCAGGCCAGGATGGAGCATCAGGGGCCGTTGGGGGTAAGCAGACCAGCAGGGGGCCGGTTGGGCCAGCAGGGGGGGAGGTTGGGGTGAGCAGGCTGGCAGGGGGGGCATTTGGGGGCAAGCATGCTGGCAGCAGGGGCAGTTGGGGCAAGCAGGTTGGCAGGCAGAATGGTTAGGGGCAATCAGGCAGGCAGGCAGGCAGGCAGGTGAGTGGCTGGAGTCAGCAGTCCTGGATTGTGAGAGGGATATCTGACTGCTGGTTTAGGCTTGATCCTTGTAAAAAGGCAGTAGGACATCCTTCGAGAGGTCCGAGATTGGAGAGGGTTAAGGCCAGGCTGAGGAACAACCCCCCCTTTCCCATGCACAAATTTTGTGCACCGGGCCCCTAATACTGTATATAATAAAGGTTTATCAGTAGAATCTAGTATATTAAATGCACCTGTTTGATAAAGAAAATAAGGAAAAGAAATTGAAGGCTTTCAAATAAAAAATAATCTGCTTAGAGAACTTAATTTTCAAATAGAATAAGCAATCTTAAAGGGTAAAATTTTCAAATGTTTTCATACTAGCATACAGATGCACATTCACAGTTATATCCAGTTATCATATTCCCATTGATAATAATAGTTGCAGCCAACATTAATTAAAATTTATGTATCCCCCCCATCTTATTGGCAAAAAGTGTGAAGTGCTTCATATATATTTTTTCATTAATCTTCAGAACAATTCTGTGAGGTATATACTTTTATCCCAAATGTAAAGATAAGAAAAAAAAACAGAGTTCAGAGAGCAAAGTAACTTGTTCATAGTTATGAAGTTAGCAAGTGGCAGAGTCATGGCAGGTGTGTCTAACCCTCAAATCCAACCTCTCAACCTACATTAAACTCTGCCAATATTTATTTCACAGATTCTACATGAAAGTGATGCCCTTGTCTTAAAAAGTTTAAAAGTTGTACACAAATATATTTACTGTTATAATAGAGGCTGGCAATATGGTTGTGTGGGAAAAACCTGAAAACTTCCCTGTTAGCTGTGACTTTACATAGTTACTAAATGCTCAGTCCTCTCATCTTAAATTATTGGGGGGGGGAGGGGGTGGAGAGAGGAAGATAATTGCTCATCTTAAGAGATTTTTAAGAATGAAATGGGGTAACATATGGAGATGACTAGTGTATTAGCTGGTACATAGTAAGTGCTTAATAAATATTAATTACCATCTTTCCCAAAAATGTTACAAGAATATGAAGAACAATAAATTTTGGTTAGAGAGAACTGGAAAGCGTTTTAATATTTTTATGAGATGGATTTAATCCAATAATTAAAGATGGGATGTAAAGAGGAAAATCAGAGCACTTCAGGTAAGAAGAGAGTGAGGAGTATGTTTAATCAATATTAAGCCAACTCAGGTGCCTGGACTACAGTGTATTTCAAAGGAATATGTACTGATTCTGAAAAGACAGGTTGGTTCCTCTTCTGAAGGCCTGGAAAATCCCAGCTAAATAACTTGGATCTTATTTTATAGGCAACTGAAAACCACTCAAAAGACTTTGGTTTATTTTCAGGCAATGGACATAATAGTCATGTAAATGTGAATGACGACTTGATAGGGAAGAGCTCAGAAGCCAGATCAATTAGAAGGCTATTACAGTATGCTAAAGGCCTGGTGCACGAAATTCGTGCACTCATGAAGGGGGAGGTTCCCTCAGCCTGGTCTGCGGTCTCTCGCAGTCCAGGAGCCCTTGGGGGATGTCCAACTGCTGTGGAGGCGGGATAGGCTCCAGCCACTGCTGCTGCACTAGCCAGCCATAAGCTCAGCACTTCCCCTGTGGGAGCACGCCAACCACCAGGGGGGAGCTCCTGCATTGAGCGTCTGCCCCTAGTGGTCAGTGCATGTCATAGCGACCCGTTGTTCTGCTGTTCGGTCGATTTGCATATCTGCCTTTTATTATATAGGATTATATAGGACTAGATGCCCAGTGCACAAAAATCTTGCATGGGTAGGATCCCTAGGCTTGGCAGGCTATCAGAAACGATAGAGGCCTTCTAGCTGCCAGCTGGGGCCTCCCTTCACCAACTTCCGGCTACCAGCCAGGGCCTCCCTTCCCTGGCTGCCAGCTGCTGGCTGGAGCCTTCCTTTGTTCCATGCTGCCCTTGGTGGTTAGCATATGTCATAGCAAGTGAACGAACTCCCAGTCTCCCCAGTTGAACTCCTGAGGGGACACTTTGCTTATTAGCCTATTAATATTAGATCTATTTATATATAGAGATCGAGACAGAAATAATGAATGGGTAAAATAGTACAGATACGGTAGAAAACATATGAAATTAAAACAAAATAAAAACTATAAATAATTAGCTGAAGAAGAAAGAAAAATAACGAGTCAAAATAACGTCCTGATATGGTAGTTGGAGGGATGGCATGTTTACTTAACCAAAGAGATGAAATGAAGCCAAATACAAATTCATGCAGACAATGGCAATTATAAATTTGCAGGCAGCATTTAAAAACAAGAACACAATCTTTTAACATAAAACACAAAGGAACTGTCATGAACTTTTGATACTCAAAAATGCTCCTTGGGTTGCCATTATTTACTTGTGCAAAATTTGAAGAAAACTACTAAATAATTTTGTATTTCAAGGTATCCAAATTTTAAAATCCTTAACAGAGGTCGTTATGAGAAATAAATAAGAAATTACTTACTTGAATAATTTTCAAGGGAGAATCAGGTTGGTAAATCTGAAGTCTAGGCACATAATGAACCAGCATGTGAAGCATGTTACAAGCTACATGGGCTACTGTTTTATTAGTAAACTGTAAAAATAACAAAAGAAAAACACATAAAAATTTCTTCCTGAACTATTATGCATTAGCTGCTGAAAAATTTTAAACTTCATATTTTTTGTCATTCTATATTTATAAAGTGTTTATTAAAGTATTATTAGGAAGATAAATATACAGCTGCAAAGATACAATTTTACTTTTCCTTTGTAATGTTTGACTGTCCTCATTTAAACCTTATTCCATTTTTTCTTACCTAGATTTTTACAGCAGCTTCTAATCTTATTACCAATCTTTCCGCATTCAAATCTACTAGACACAATACTTCCAAAATAATCTTCTGAAGAACTCCTCTGATGCTAACATTCCATATACTTAAAAGTCTTAAATGACTCCCCAGTGGCATAAAGTCATGCTTTTCATGCTTTTCTATGACCAAATTCTATCCACTCTTCAAGCCCTGACCAAAAGTTTCCCCTTTCCCAAGTCTTTTCTGATACCTAAGTCAAAGTGATCTCTGCTTCCTCTGAACTCAATCAGCAGTTTGCATGCACCACTCATTTGGTTATCTCAGCTTTTTATACTTTATTCCTCTTATTTTAATCTTTTTCAGCATCAGATCATTAATCTCTTGAATCTAGTATTTACAACTCTTTTCATTCTGATATCTAATAAAATACTTCAAACAGGATATGCTCAGAATTATGTGTCAAATCGGTGATATCTGTACATTGTATCTTTAGAGTCCTATACAGATAGTGTAATATAAGTTTTAAGACAGAAAAAATGTTATGCATCTATTCAGAAACAAAAAAAAATCCATTTATTCATTTAGAATCTTCAAATAATTGGTTTATTTCTGAACACATCTTATTTTGGCAATTAACTTGAATGATAAAGTAAAAAAGTTGAGCAGTTCAAGAATTCAGAAGTAGTAAAGATCAAATAGTAGGTTACAAAAACACTGATAAAGAAAAAACAAACAAGCCATGTTGTTAAATGACTGATTTCCTTTTTAAGAGCTACTCATATGTTTCCTATGGACAAAGCCAAATACATAAAAAGTTGACTAGGACCACTCTTGAAGAAAAAGTCAGGAGCAAGGAAATAATGTAATAATAAATTAATGAAAACATTTATTAAAGGGTACAACCTATAATTAACATTTGGAGAAAAAATAATCATGATTCTATGCTATTTTAATATATTCCACTAAACAGTACTTTGTTGTTTTGTGTGTGTTGGGGAGGGGGGGAGGGATTATTTTTTTACCTTCAAGGAAACACATATTACATTCAGAGCTTCCTTAATTTGAGGATGATGAGACTCATGGACTAGTTCTTCACAAATCCAAATACCTAAACTGCAAAGTGCTACACATCTGCAAAAAAAGGCAAACAATAATGATACAAATAAAAATGTATGCGCTTTTAAAGAAATGAAACCACCGTCACAACCAAAACACCCACAACTAGCCAACATAGAAGGAACATGCACTGTTTAAGTAAATTGATCAATTTGTTACTTTGTATGTTAGCTCTTCTTAGGAAGAGAAAGGAGGAAAGCACATCCCTAAAACTTTAAATCTAATTTTCAATTATAACTTATTACCAAAGTCAGAGGTAGAGAGAATATAAAAGATTTTTCTAACAAACCCATATTAAGAAATTGATATTTTCATAGATTCCCCAAATGTACCCTGCTTTCAAAAAGGAAAGGATGTCATTTGATTAACTGATAGCATCAAAATGAATTTAAGCAAACTACAAACTCTTTAAAAAACAGATTAGGTGCACAAATAAAATGTATACACTTCATAAAGGGGTTCCAACTGAAACAGAACTTGTAGGATTTTTGTTCTGTTGCCTAATGTCTTCCTTATCCTATTTGTGCTATTTCAGCTTGAAGGGAGTAACTTGTTATCACAATCAGTGAAATTCCATTAGTGTGTTCAAATATAAGCTTCTGATGAGGAATATAACGGTGTTATGAATAAAAAAAATTGACTCCTTCTAGGATCCTAGTTACATACATGGCATGTCCTGGTAATGATATTCTTAAATTCAGCAGAATGCTAAATTTCAGAATAATTCAATGCAGAAACATTTTACTGAACACATCAGATCAGAAGTTCTTCAGCCCTCTCTTTCAATCTAGCACAGTGTCAATGCTAAAAATTGTTTACTAGCAAAACTACCAGAAAGTCTTCGAAACAAGTCTACTGCTTTATTTTTTCTCTACTACTGTCTGCCCATGAGTCTTAGATAATTATATTATATGAACAGATATAATATATATTCATAGATCTAAATAAACTTATAATATATTAATATATGTATAGATCTAAATAATCAAATTTCATTGTTAGCAGTAGAAAGAGTTGTAATCAGCAAGTAACATTAAACTCTAACTTGAGGCAAAGTTCTCCAGGGATGCAGCTAACTAAAGGCACAGACTGGGAGTACAACTGTTTAACGGGTTTTTTTTCTTTTTTCTTTTGTGATTGCACACCTGCATACACAGTTTCCTACATTCCTAAAGATATCCAAATAATTTAGATCATTCCCAGTATGCCTCAACTCTGCTCCATATCAATTTTGGGGGTATAAGCTTCTAAGGCCTATTCTCAATAAAAGCTATTGTGTTAATGATTCCCAAGTCTTTCTGGGGCTCTATATTTTAGGCTTCAATATTCTTTACTTAAGAGGCAACATAGTTAAAAAGAAACAGGCAGAAAATCTAGAATCTGAAGCTCTACATTCAAATGTGGTTCAACTATTATTATTTATGCATCTAATAAGGCTCTGAAGACAAACTATCAAGGTTTTAATCATGGCTCCGCCATTGCTGAGTGATAGGGATAATAACTTAAATACTTTGGGCTCCTATAATAGGGAGGATACAAATTGTATCTATCTTCTAGAGTTGTTACAAATGAAATAATAAAGTATTTAGAACAGTGCCTGGCACTTAGAAAGGACTTAGTAAATGTTAGTTTTCTAAAACATTGGTTTCATGCTAGCAAACTTGGCCCAGTGCAGAGCAGTCAGAGACCAAAGGACCTCTGCAACGTAGCTGACAATGCTAGCGAACTTGTAAGAATAATGATGAGCTCATTAATTTCTTAGAATTGTGATGAGGAATAAATAAAACAATATTATAGGAAAATTCTTGCAAACTCAAAAGATTGTCATTATTGACATAGAAAATAATAGAAAATTAATATTCAAAATGATCACATTTGAGGGTAAAGCTACCAGAAACGAAAATATGGTATAATGGGAAAGACAATGTCATTTTCTAGGGATGTCCAGTATTAAAATAATTAAATTAAAATAAAAATTTATTAAAAAAGATTTGTGATTTTTAAAAAAATATATATTTTTTAATTGATTTCAGTGAGGAAAGGAGAGGGAGAGAGAGATGGAAACATCAATGATAAGAGAAGATCTTTGATTTGGCTGCTTCCCTCATGCCCTCTACTGAGGATCAAGTGTGCAATTCAGGTGTGTGTCCTGGCTGAAATTGAACTGACCTCCAAATTCATAGGTTGATGCTCAACCATTGTACTACACCAACTGAGCTCAAAGAGATTCGTTTTTAATTAACTTGACTAGTAAGTGAGAAAAATATGGAACTGAATTAAAAAGCTGGAGCTATGTCTCATTTAAGCAAACTATTAATTTTACATTATTTTTACTGGTGGAAAATATAAGATACTTAAATTAGAATTAATATTCAAATGGTCAAAGCCATGATCTGCACTTTCATTAACCTGGGTCAAAAAATATGTAGGTAACTGGAAAAAAGAAAGCTTTGCAAAGATATAGGTCAGAGGAGGAACAACACAGGCTACTTTTGAAGCTAATGACATTCTATTAGAATTATATTCAAGAAATATAATATTACATGAATTAATGATATTTTGGGGATGAGAAGAAACATGTGATACTGGCAACCATGTGATAAATCTTAACCTTTTAAAAAAAGGTTTAGTAAAACAGAAAATGACAATTTTTTTGCTTCTAAATAAGGCATTTAAAAAGAAAAACATTCTAAAATCTTATATTTACTATGTAACACACATTACTATATAATATGTTGTATATGTAAAGCACATATATTAATAGAATACATTACTTCTATAATAGAAAAACCTTATCCAATATTTATTAATATCAATATATACTATGATATTTTCTTTAATACATTACTTTCTATAATAAAAATATTTTATTTTAATTCAATTTAAGTAACATTCACTGGGTAACTACTACTACAATTCAAGGTATGGCAGAAGAGACAGTGAATATATAATCTAATGAAAAAGCAAAATATATTTAAAAATAATTGAAAAAGTCATTTTCAATACTGAGGGTAAAGACACTAAAATGGGTGACTAATATTTTATCTTTTTAATGAAAAAAGGTTCATATTTAAATCATGTGAAAAGTATTTAATCATACAAATAATTTAAATTTTTAATTCAGAATAGCTTTTGTGTATCTGAAACAATGTGGACTAAATAATCCAATCAACTTCTAATGTGAGATTGCAAACAGAATAGTTATAATAAATCTTAAGAATATCTGACCTACCGTGCAGGACCAGAGGGCTCATCTCTTGCTGAGCTTAATACAGTTTTGATTATAAGTTCCTAAAATAAGGAGGAAATAGTAGCAATGAGTAAGAGTTCATTCGTTAATTCAATAAATATTTATTAAATGGCGACTATATGCCAGGTGCTAGGAATACTATATTGAAATAAAACCAACAGTCTTTGTTCTCATATACATATTTTTAATGGTCTAATAATACTCATAAAATTAGCTAAATAAATAAAACAATGGTATGGTCTGAATGTTTGTCCCCTCAAAATTCTTAAGTCCTAACCTCCAGAGATGATGGTATTAGAATTTGCTTAAGTCATGAGAGTGAAGCCTTTATGAATAAAATTAATGATCTTACAAAAGAGACCCCCGCAGAACTCCCTGGCTCTTTTTACTTTGTGAGGACACAGGGAGAAGGCCCAGAATGAACCAGGAAGAGGGCCTTCACCTTAAAAACGACTATGCTAACCCTTTGATTTTGATTTCTCAGCCTCCAGAAATATGAGAAATATTCTTTTGTCGTTTTTATAAACTTCCCAGTCTGAAATATTTTGCCATAATAGCCAAAAACAACTTAAAAAAAAAAAAAAGGTTTATAAACAACTAGGGGCCAAGTGCACAGAATTTGTGCACCCGTTGTGGGTGTTTCCCTCAGCCCTGCCTGCACCCTCTCCAATTGGGAACCCCTTGGGGGATGTCCGATCACCGGTTTAGGCCTGATCCCACAGGATAGGACCTAAACCGGTGGTTGGACATCCCTCTTGCAATCTAGGATGGCTGGCTTCTAACTGCTCACCTGCCTGCTTGCCTGATCGCCCCTAACTACTTCTGGCTGCCTGCCTCCCTGATCGTCCCTAACTGCCCTCCCCTGCCAGCCTGATCTTGCCCCTAACTGCCCTCCCCTGTCATCATGATATCACCCCCAATGCCTCTGCCTGCCTGATCACTCCTGACTGCCCTCCCCTGCCAGCCTGGTTCATCCCAACTACCCTCCCCCACAGGCCTGATCTTGCTCCCAACGGCCCTTCCCTGTTGGCCTGATCACCCCTAACTGCCTCTGCCTGCCTCATTGCCGCTAACTGCCCTCCCCTGATGACCTGGTTGCCCCCAACTACATTCCCCTGTTGGTCTAATTACCCCTAATCCCCTGCCAGCCTGATCTTGCCCCCAACTATCCTCCCCTGCCAACCTGATAGCCCCTGCCTCTGCCTCAGCCCTCACCACCAATGCTTTGTCTGGAAGGAAGTTGGATAGCCAGAAGATGGCCAGTCAATCCGGTTTAAGTAGCATATACCCCTTTTAATAGTAAGCTAGCTTACATAGAACTAGAGGCCTGGTTATAAGGTTTTGTGAAACTTATAAAACTTATGAAAATTATGAAATTTGTGCACAGAGGGAGTGGGTGCCCTCAGCCCAGCCTGCACCCTCTCACAACCTGGAACCCCTGGCTCCTAACTGCTCACCTGCCTGCCTGCCTGATTACCTCTAACTATCTCCCCCCACACCCTTCTCCTCACCCCCCCACACCAGCCTTCGCAGTTCACCCAGATTAGGTTCTGATTTGTCAGTTTCTATGCCAGTCAGCGTCAAAAGCTCTGCCTCCAAGGAAGCCATTGGCTCCTGGCACTTCACCCAGATTCGGTTTTGATTGTTTGGTTTCTATGCCAATCAGTGTCTCCAGGCCTATCTCTAGGCCTGATCAGCAGCCCCCGAGAAGGCCCGGAGAGAAACAGGTGCGGCTGCTGGTGAAGCTGGGAGAAAAAGGGAGAGGCAATGGCTGATCAAAGCTGCCACGAAGGCTGGGGGTCAGACCTTGCCTCTCTCTGTGCAGGCCTCTCTCTGGGCCTGATCCGCAGCCACCTCGGCAGCCAGAGCTGGGTAGCCTTGACAACCCAGCACTGACTTCCTGTGTTGGGTTGAGCCTTGGTCGTTACGGACCCTGGCTCTTTATATAATAGAAGCATATCTGCTCCTAATCAGACACTATTATCTTTATTTTTAAGGTTCAGTATTTAGAATGAATTCCATCAGCAATTATATAGACACTTTAATTTGCACCATCTCCTGTTCAAGCCTGCTAATGCTTTAGGTACATAGGACCCCAAACCTCAATTTCTACAGCAGAACAGAATATTCTATTACATTATGTTTGATTCCTCACATTGAGAAATTGGAAGAGGGAGAGAGTTAATATGCAGGTTTAGTGCCATCTTAATCTAAGAAGCTTTATATTACTAGGACTGTATCTGGCACATAGAATGTTTCAATAAATGTTCAGTGAGTGAATGAATGAATCCTAAGAGACTGACACGTAGGTGGGTTCAATAATCAGAAAACATTTCCAAAGCAGTTATGAACACAAAAAAGGCTATGCTACTAATAAACATTCCAGCCTGTGTTCTGAGGAGTATGGCTGGTTAATGTTCTTTAACAATTATGTGGATTTCTAAGAAAAGAAAACATACACATTTTATTGAATATACATTATGATTATACATCATTTAAATGCTAATAATTAGCATCTGATTTCTTACCTTAACATCTGTAAACTGAGACACAGCAATATCAGGAATATTGGGATGAAGAGCAGGCAGTTCACAATATAAGTTAGGAAAGCAAACTAAAGATCCCAGAAGAACTTGTGCTTCCACTCTCGGTGCCTACAAGTAAACAGATTTTTAAAATCTTTAAATATATTAGTGTTATTTAAATTATCAGAAAAATTATTTTATCACCTAACCATATTACACAGAGAAGTAAGCAAATAAGACAAAATTCAAAAAGAAACAGGGAAACACAAAAAGATTCAGATTTTCATTTATATTTCCCATATAAACTCCTATAATTCTCAATAAGAGCAACAAATAGCAGAGCTTTCCTCAAGAGCAGCTAATAAGCCGAAATTAGCCTTAGTTAATGAGACTATACATTTTTAAAAATCTTAACAACACAAAATTACCCTAGTTTTAAGGAAAATTATACTTTTGCTTTAAAGGCAGCTCATACATCACAAGACACTGTTCTTTTTTTTAAAAATTATTATTTTCATTAGGATGACCTTGGTTAATAAATAACACATTGTTCTAAAACATTCAAACACATGGAGGCTAAATAGCATGTTATTAAACAACGAGAGGCCCGGTGCATGAAATTCGTGCACGGGTGTGGGCGGGTGTCCCTCAGCCCAGCCCACACCCTCTCCAATCTAAGACCCCTTGAGGGATGTCTGACCACCCTTCTTAGACCCGATCCCACCAGAATCAGTTGGACATTCCTCTCACAACCAAGGATTGCTTGCTCCCAACTGCTCGCCTGCCTCTGCCTGATTGCCCCTAAACGCTTCTGCCTTGCAGCCTGATCAACACCTAGCTGTTCCTCGGCCAGCCCAATTTCCCCTAATTGCCCTCCCCTGCTGGCCTGGTTACTCCTGACTGACTTCCCCTGCAGGCCTGGTTCCCCCCAACTGCCCACCCCCTCAGGACTGGTCCTCCCACAACTACCCTCCCCGGAGAGCCTGGTCCCCCCCAACTGCCCTGGTCTCCCCCAACTGCCCTCCTCTACTGGCCCGGTCAACCTTAACTGCGCTCCCTGCTGACCTAATTGCCCAAATACTCTCCCTGCTCCAACCCCCTCCCCCCAGGCCTGGTCCCCACAAATGCCCTTTCATGCTGGCCTGGTCCCCCTACCCCAACTGTCCTCCACTGCAGGCCTGGTCCTCCTCACTCAACAACCCTCCCCTGCAGGCCTGGTCTCCTCCAACTGCCCTCCTCTGTTGGCCTGATCACCCACAACTGCCCTCCCTTGCAGGTTTGGTCCTTCCCGCCAACTACCCTCCCCTGCGTGCCTGGCCCCCCCACCCAACTTCCCTCCACTGCAGGCCTGATCCCCCGCCCAACTACCCTCCCCTGCAGGCCTGGGTCCCCCCCCCCCCCAATTGCCTTTCCCTGCTGGCTTGGTCTCTCAGAACTGCCCTCCTCTGCTGGCCTGGTGACCCCTAACTTCCCACAAGTGCCCTCCCCTGCAGGCCATCTTGTGTCCACATGGGGGCAGTCATTTTTTTCCACACGGGTGCAGCCATCTTGTGTCTTGGAGTGATGGTCAATTTGCATATTACTTTTTTATTAGATAGAATAGATTACCCAATGAGATTAAGAAAGAAAAAAATTCCTGGAAACAAATGAAAATTAACACACAACAACCTAACAATCTCTGAGATACAGCAAAAGCAGTCCTGAGAGGGAAATTCATAGTACTACAGGCATACCTCAGAGAACAAGAAAAATCAGCATATTTAACCCTACAACTTAAAGAACTAGAAAGAGAACAATAAGAAAAGCCCAAAGGAAGCATAAAGAAGGAAATAAATATTAGAACAGAAATAAATAACAAATACTAAAAAAAATTTTTTTTTAAATCAATGAAACCAAGAGCTGGTTCCTTGAAAGATTAAACACAATTGATAAACCGTTAGCCAGACTCATCAAAAAACAAAGAGAGAGGACCCAAATAAATAAAATCAGAAACAAAAGTGGAAAAGTAACCATCTACACCACAGCAACACAAAGGATTGTAAGAAAATACTATGAACAATTTTATGTCAAGAAGCTGGACAATGTGGATGAAATGAAAAATTCCTAGAAAAATACAATCTCCCAAAATTGAATCAGGATGAATCAGAAAACCTGAATAGGCCAATAACAACTGATGAAATAGAAGCAGTAATCAAAAAACTTCCAGCAAACAAAAGTCCAGGTCCCAACAGCTTCACACGGGAATTTTACCAAACATTCAAAAAACATCTGTACTCCTCAAACTATTTCAGAAAATCCAAGAGGAAGGAACACTTCCAAACTCTTTTTATGAGACAAGCATTATCCTAATTCCAAAATCAAATAAAGATACTACAAAGAAAAAGAATTACAAGCCAATATCCCTGATGAATACAGATGTTAAAATCCTCAACAAAATATTAGCAAATCACACCCAGCAATATGTTAAAAAGATTATAAACCATGACCAAGTAGGATTTATTCCAGGGATGCAAGGCTGGTACAATATTCCCAAATCAATAAATGAGATACATCATATAAACAAATTGAAAGACAAAAACCACATGATCATATCAAGAGGTGCAGAAAACACATTCAACAAAATCTAACACTCATTTTTGATAAAAACTCTCAGCACAGTGGGAATAGAGGGAGTTTATCTCAACAGGACAAAGGCCATACATGACAAACCTGTAGCCAAAATCATATTCAATGCGAAAAACTAAAAGCATTTCCTCTAAGTATAGGAATAAGACAGGGATGTGTGTTTTCACCACTCTTATTTAACATAGTACTGGAAGTGCTAGCCATAGTAATTAGACAAGAAGAAGAAATAAAAGGAATCCAAATTGGAAAGGAGAAAGAATAACTTTCATTATTCACAGATGATATAGTATTGTACCTAGAAAACACTACAGACTCCACCAAAAAAACTACTAGATTTAACAAATGAATCTGGCAATGTAGCAGGATAACAAAATCAACACCCAAAATTATTATAGAAGGCTTTTTTTATACACAAATAATGAATTCTCAGAAAGAGAAATTAAACAATCCCATTTACTATTGCAATAAAAAAAAACTTGAGATACTTAGGAATAAATTTAACCAAGGAGGCAAAAGACCTATACTTGGAAAACTATAGAAAGTTGAAAAAAGAGACAGAAGGAGATATAAACAAGTGACAATCAATGGATTTGATGCAATCCCTATTAAAATTTCAGAGATCTGGAACAAATACTCCAAAAACGCAACCCTGAATAGTTGCAGCAATTTAAGAAAGAAAAACGAAGTTGGAGGAATCACAATACCAGATTTCAGTTATACTACAAAGCCGCCCTAATCAAACCAGCCTACTACTGGCATAAGAACAGGCATATAGATCAATGGGACAGTGCTAAATAAATACACATTCAATTAATAAATATCTATAAGTATGATGCTGAGCTAGGACCTGGAGATGCAAGATGAGTAAGACATGATCACTGTTCTCAGGGAACTAGAGAATTTAGATTAATAACTATAAACACGGTTTTTCTTTTATTTGCAAATTTCCTTTGGTGATTGCATCCAGTTTCATTACTATCTCAAAAGCAATGTTTCCCAGCTTTACATTTTCAGTCCTGATGTATCCTTTGAGCTCCTGAGTAATACATACAATGGACCTCCCTACATCTCATACATGTCTAATGGGCAGCTTACTATGCCCAAACAGAACTCCCCCTCATCACTGTTGGTCTTTTGTAGCTTATAAATGAAAAAAAAAAAAAAAATGTTTGTAAAACTGCTTTGCAAGTTATAAAGTGCTAGTCAAATAATCAGTAGATTATTCTTCCCCAAATACTCTTTGAATTTTCTAGTAGGCTTTCAGTTAATTATTTATTTATACTTTGCTCCAGAGTGATCTTTCTAAAATAGAAATTTGATCATGTCACTCTTTTCTTAAAATCCTTCAATGGTTCTTCATTATTTCCTTAGGATGAAATCTATTCTCTTTAGAACTATAAACAGTCACTGTCTTTCTCTTTAGTTCACCCTTGCCTCTTAAAATGAACATGTTCCAACTACACTGAGTTACTTGGCATCACCTCAGCTCCTTAGCTCCATAAAAAAATCCCACATGCTGTTTTAGAGGTTAGAGTGTATTCCTAAGAGCTTATTTTCTGGGTTATCTCACCACTGTTTCTTTTCTTTTGCTATAGTCCATTGTTATTTCTTTACTTTCTTCCCTCCTGTCCTTATATATGTATTTCCTCAGTTAAAATTCGGTTTTGCTTATCAGATTTAGTCCATTTTTATAGCTCTTGGGTCAATTCCTCAACAAATTTTAGTTATACAATCTTATACATTAGAACTTCTTACTTTTTTTAATGCAGGAGACACAATTCCAACTAAACTGTGAAATTTCCTCAACGTGAGATTGCTATTTTTAAAAAAATATATTTTATTGATTTTTTACAGAGAGGAAGGGAGAGCTAGAAACGTCGATGAGAGAGAAATATCGACCAGCTGCCCCCTGCACACCCCCTACCGGGGATGTGCCCGCAACCAATGTACATGCCCTTGACCGGAATCGAACCTGGGACCACTCAGTCCACAGATCGACGCTCTACCACTGGGCCAAACCGGCTTCAGCAGATTGCTATATTTTTATCAAAAACATCCTAGCTCTTCCTTTCTTGCTCTTTAGTAGTGTCCTGGTAAACTAATATTTGTTATATTATGAAGAACAGGAAATAAAAACTTACATTGAGAAAAGCTGAAGAAGCCACTCGGCCAGCTGCTACAATAAAATCCATAATAAGCATTGTGGCACCAGGCAAACCAAGTGAAAAAAACTGAGGTGAGCAGTGCTTGATGATTGTATTGACAATATCCTGAGAATAAGGAAAGAAAAGAGAAAGAATATAACAAATGTAATATTGAATATCAGCTAATCAATATCCTTAAAAACAGATATCACATGAAATAATAAAACAGGTAATCCTATATAATAAAAGCCTAATGTGCTAAGTGTTGGATTGTCTGTTCAACCAATCAAAGTGTAATATGCTAATATATACTAAGGCTGCTCAACTGCTTGCTATGATGTGCACTGACCACCAGGGGGCAGTTGATTGGTTGACCAGTTGCTATGATGTGCATTGACCACCAGGGAGCAGATACTCCAACTGGTAGGTTAGCTTGCTGTAGGGGTCCCTGATCGAGACTGAGTGCGATGGGATGGACACACCCTGGAGCCCTCCGTGGCCCCTCCCTGGCTGGCTAACCTCCCCTGTCCCTCCCCAGCCCTGATCATGCACCAGTGGCATCACTTGGCCTGGCCTGCGCCCTCTTGCAATCCAGGACCCATTGGGGGATGTCAGAGAGCTGGTTTCAGCCTGATCCATATGCTAGGCTGAGGGACCCCACTGGTGTACGAATTCATGTACTGGGCCTCTAATTATTATATATTGGCTGACTACTAATTTTAATTCCTCCAAATAATCCATATTTATTATTATATTCTGTCAAAGGAAAATAAACTTAAAACACATTTGTTTAACTGACATCAATACAGCATTTTTTCTATACCACAGACGAATTTGGAAGGCTCTTTTTTCAGAGGGTTCAAGCTAAATTGCAGAGTATCTCCTCCTGTTTCCTATTTGTTTTTATGTGATGATTCTGGTCTCTGAAGTTGTGTGACCTGTTATATTACAACTGAAGAGATTCTCTTTTTTAGATACCTTTGATGATATGTATCTAGCACTGGAAATCTCGATGTAGTCACCTTTGAGGGAATATTCTTGACTTGATTAATAATCCACTTTGCCTTTGGATTTTACAATGAGAATGTGGTATATTACCTTGTATTACTCAATGTGATTTATCTTACACAAAAACTCTTTTTCTAGTTATCAAAATCATTAATTTATCTGAGACATGTTATAAGGTAGAACATTGTAATTAGTCCTAATTAATGCATTTTTCAGAAAGTGAAATTTAACCACATTTGATAAAAATGCTTGCGTTACTTTGACTTGTAATCTCTCACACTTTTCAGTTTTTTGGCCAGGGTCAAGACCCTTGAAGTAATGTTCTAGAGTCATAATTATGACTATATAATGTAATGATTGTGACTGACGCAAATGCCAAGTCAATATAATTGTCATTATGATCATACAATTTATGGTAATAAGAAAATGTGATGTGCTGACTCTTAGAGTAGAAAAAAACCTCTGAATACTACATGACTAGCTGAGTAAGTCCGTATGCCTCAAGTACCAATTATCAAGTGATAATTACAAAATGTCAACATAAGCAAAGGATGGCTTAATCTCTTCAAAAAGTGAACTACCGTGTTTCCCTGAAAATAAGACCTACTTACAGGTTTCCATCTGAGTGAAATATAAGGCATCCCCCGAAAATAAGGCCTATCTCCAGACTCTTGATATTGCAATAAACAAGCCATTCAAAGACAATTTGCGCATGGAAATTAATGACTACATTGAAAATAGAATGGAGAGAAATCAGCGTGGAAACTTTGTGAAACCTAAACTGTAAGAAGTTGAGACTTGGGTGAAGAATTCATGGTAGAAAATTACTGACAGTTGCATTGCAAATGCACTGCGAGCAGGCTACCTTGACAAGAAGTACTCATTTAAAGACAATGCTATTGCTAAACATGAGAGATTTGGTCCACTGATTCTGAAAGAAATGGAGTCACAAGAAATTCACCAGGAAATTCAGGAATTGGATTGTTATGATGATGTTCCAGAAGATGATGACTTGATTATCATTGAATAAATGAGTAAATTCTTGATACTGTAGGATTCACAGTTTGTCTGGTTTGGTTGACAACTACCGTACTACCATACCGTATACAGGTAATAAATTTCCTTTATTTTCATTTAACAATAAATGTGTACCGTATTCTTCTTCATGGAAAAATAAGACATCCTCTGAAAATAAGACCTAGTGCAAATTAATATAAGACACTGTCTTGTTTTCAGGGAAACAGGGTATTTGGTATAACATTAGAGGAACAATGCATTTCATAATCAGGTCAACCCCTTGTTATAATAGCTTGTTTTTCCACCTACATTTCAAAAACAGAGTTAAAGAGAACTGAGAATCAAACGTAAACATATAAAGCAACTTGCTAGAAAGTGCATATATTTACCTGATCAATATGAAGTAATCCACAATGCATTATATTATAGAAATGTGTCAGAAAATCTCTATTTGGAGAAACATCTTGTCTTCTTTTCATTGTATTGCAAATAAGTTTATAAGCATGTAATTTACCTTGCTTATATTTATCAGTCAACATGGTTGCCTACAATATAAAAATATTGGCTTTATTACTACTCAAAAACAAATACTGCTTATTAAATACTTAAACATTTAAATATAGCAAGATATATATATGAGGGACACCACCCGTGCACAAATTCATGCACCAAGCCTCTAATATATAAATATGAATATAGATATAAATGTAAATATAGAGGTCTGGTGCATGAATTTGTGCACAGGTAGGGTCCCTTGGCCTGGCCGGCAACTGGGGCCTTCTCGGGGCCAGCTGGCCGGGGAGAGAGACCATGGGAGGCTGGCTGATCTGGGCTGCGGAAGGTTGGATGTGGGAGTACACTGACCACCAGGGGGCAGCTCCTGCATTGAGCGTCTGTCCCCTGGTGGTCAGTGTGCATCATAACAACCGGTTGTTTGGTCAACTACTCATAACGGTCTTTCAGGCTTTCAAATTTTTTTCAAAGCACATATTTTATTTATATAACAAAGTGTTATTTATATATCTCTTACATAGTACTGTTATTAAGTTTTCTGAGCCTGTAACATTAAATGCTTTATTATTCATTTTTGTTTTGCTTTTAAATAGATTTTTTAAAAGAAAAGTCTTAGATTCATAGCAAAATTGAGCAGAAAGTAGTTTTTATATACTCCTTAACTCCACAGATGCTATTTTCTTAAAAACTTAAATTCTTTGTTTAAAGTATTACATAAGTCTCCTTTCTCCCCCTCTGACCTCTCCCCAACAGCCCCTGCCCCCTATAAAGCAATATATTTATTTTCATTCATTTCTATGTTGTCCCTATTTCTTTACTGAACTATGTATCAGAATAACCTAAACCATTATCATTAAAATTATACAAAACTATGAATTACCACACAGTTTCACTTAGAAAAATGTATCGAGCATATCAAATGATACTTAAAAGAATCACATCTTTAAAGTACATATATACTGTGACACAAATTCAAGGTTATTTCATTAAATATAACCCATACCAATAAAAGCCTAGGTGGTCTTCACGCCCTCAGGTGATGCCCTCACATCGCCACAAGATGGCCACCACAAGATGGCCAGCAGGGGAGGGCAGTTGGGGGCAACCAGGTCTGCAGGAGAGGGAAGTCTGGGGTTATTAGGCCGGCAGGAGAGGGCAGTTGGGGGGGCATCAGACCTGCAGGGGAGGCAATTAGCGGCAACCAGGTTGGCAGGGGAGTGGTTAGGGGTGATCAGGCTGACAGGCAGGAGCAGTTAGGGGCAATCAGGTAGGCAGGCAGGCAAATTATTAGAAGCCAGCAGTCCCGGATTGTGAGAGGAATGTCCGAATGCTAGTTTAGGCCCGATCCCTAACCCGGCAGGCAGTCAGACATCCCAGATTGGGCAGAGGGGGTCCCAGATTGGAGAGGGTGCAAACTGGAATGAGGGATACCTAGTTCACGAATTTCGTGTTCCAGGCCTCTAGTCCTATATAATATAAGTGTAGTATGCAAATTGTCCCCTCAATTGGAGTTCTTCCGGGAGTTCAACCAAGGGGTGGGCTGACTGGGAAAAGGGAGGGAGGTCCCAGCCAGGGGAGCTGGCAGGCAGCTAGGGAAGGGAGGGAGGCCCCAGACAGCAGTGGCGGCAGCTGGGAGAAGGGAAGGAGTACATGGTAGGTGGCTGGCAGCTGGCAGCGACTAGGGACCCTACCAGTACATGGATTTCTTGCACTGGGCCTCTAGTAAAAACATACTTTCCTATAAAAATGATGCATCCTGTACAAGAAGCATATCAAACTTGCACACGTGCTGCTGGCCAACAATGAATATTTTTGTGGCCCTGCCAATATAATGATATGTAAGGTATATTTCAATAAAAATGTTGTAACTTAATTTTTACAATATTATACATAATTATTAATAACAAACTATAAAGTTCACTAATGACTGATTATTATAAGTGTGTTTTATTCATTTCCTTTATGCATCTTATGGTGCATGCACACTATTTCTCTTCACCAATGCTAGCAGCGAATATTTTAGCAGCTGATTGCCATGCTATTATTTTTGTACTAACTTGTTTGGTGTGCACAACAGGAAATATTTTGCTTTTGAAGAACCAGAAAAATAGGTTTATTTGTGTTATTAATTAGTGCAATTATTGAATGACTGGTAAGTTAATGTTCAAGAAAAAATATTAATTTTATTAAAATGTTCTATTATTTTATGTTAATGATTATTCATTTATTTCAGCTCTTTGTATTCAGCATGTCTCTATTGAAATTAACCTACATTTCTATGAAAATTGAGGCTTTTGTTTTTTTTTGAAACCCACATAAACCTAACCCTGTTTATTTGGCCCATGTTAGCCACTGAGTTTGACATGCTTGCTATACAATAATTTTGCTATGCTCACTCTCTTTGCTATATAACCCCTAATGACTAAAAACTAAGTGTGCTAAAAGCAATACAATAAATCAAACATCTATCATATGTTTAAGACTGATACATACTTATATGCTAAGTGAAATGTTTAAATTTTATATATTAAGCTTACCTTGAAAAGCCAAGGCGTAAGAATTCTCAATGGAGGTATCAAAATTGGTGGAGAAGGGGAGGTCAGGTTATCAGTCGAAATGCCGAGGTTATCTCTAATCTGTAATTTTCAAATAAAATGCAATAAACCTATGTAAAGTATTCTTTTTTTCTAATTTGTTTTTCCTTAAACTGAGATCAAGTCCAGTATCTACCACAAACTACATATTTAATCACGGTTAAGTGACTTCATCATGGTAAGCACCAGTATATGACAAGGGGGGTGGGGGGTGGGGGATAGTATAGCTATGTTATTTAAGGCTTCTGCTTCTTAATACTTTAGTTTCCTTCTATTATATCTTTTCTTTTTTACCTTAGCTAAATTCTGCCAAAGTTCACAGAGGTAATCGAAGACTTGAGCATGTATTTCGGGATCCATAATAGCATTGACATCTCCCAAAATGCCTAGCATCCTTCGCCACATTACAGTAGCCACATCAGCATGCCATCCTGTAAGAGTGCCCCCTGCCATCACACTACAACATTCAGACGGAAATTCACTGATTTCTATAGAAAAAAATAATACACAAGTATTAGTGATTTTTTCTGGATAATTGATCATAAAAACACAAAAGAGATGAATTAACTATCTTAAATATCTATAAAAGTAAATAAAAGTTAATATTCATTAGTGTTATTTTTTTCTTGATAAGGTAAAAATATTACCAGTTCATAATTCCTTATTATAATACTTATCTCAGAGTGCTTCTATCTAGATTTACCTAAGGAGGAAATGAGGAAGATACCAGATAAAGAAATTTATGTTTGATATAAAGATCATATTTACAACTACATACTCTACCTAATAACTACTTCAGATTATATCATCAAATTAATATAAAATCTCAGGCTACAGTCAGATCCTGTAGGAAGTCTTTAGAAACCAGTTTTTTTAGTTAAAACTTCCAAAGAAATACATTTCACAATATGTCAGACCTACCATTAAAAGGATTTCACAATGACCTTGAAAAATAATATTTTTACTAAAATTTAAACATAATCTAACATATCCATTAATTATATTGGCAGGATTATATGTAAAAAATGTTACCTTGGATCCTAGTCCTATCACAAATTATGTGATGTTTAAGTTATTTAATAACCTCCCTAAGGCTATGCTTCATTTGATAAATAGATGGTATAGCTGAATATCATTATAGGTCTCCTCCAGCTTTAAAAGGAAATATTACTCTTTAAAAAAAATTTTTATCAAAGTTATTAGGGTGACATTGATTAATAAGTTATATAGGTTTCAGTTGTATGATACATTAAAAAACTCTTTCTGTTCAAGGTATACAAAAAAGGGAAAATCGTTTGTCAGTAAAAAATTTTCCTGCTTGATAAAAATCTTAATAATTTATGTTTGTTACTATATATACATCCTTTATTCTTAATGTTCACCTTTTTTTTCTTTGCTTAAAAGGTATACAATAACTGATTGTATTATTAAAAAGCTACTGAATAGCCTTTCACAATAATAAAAAATGGCCTCTTGTATAAACTCACTAAGACTAAAAGAAAGCATGCAATGTTTACTAGGTGTACCGGTTAATAACAGCGGGTTTTGTAATAAAAGAAAACAGGATAATTTCAGAGAAACGTCAAAAGTGCTTTACTCAAAGTAATGTCCATCTACACATTTCCCCATCTTTCAGATAATTTGTGGATACAGTCCCAATAGAACTTTTCTTATTTTGAGGCAAACCATTCAGACACCCAATTTTCCACTTCTTCGTACGTTTTGAAGTGCTGCTCAGAAAGTGCATGTGCCATCGATCAGAACAAATGGTAATCTGAAGGAGCAAGGGCTGGTGAATAAGGCGGGTAGATTAATACTTCCAAGGCAAGATCTTTTAATATGTCTTTACATGGTTTTAAAGTGTGTGATGGAGCAACATCATGAAGTAAAATTACTTTGCGGTGTCTGGCACATTCTGGTCGTTTCACGATCAAAGTGTGGTTCAAATTGATTATTTGTTGTCGGTAGCGATCAGTATTAACAGTTTCACCTGGTTTTAGAAGCTCATAATTCATCACACCTTCCTAATCCCACCAAACGCAAAGCATTATCTTCTTTCCAAAGCAATTTGGCCTTGTAGTAAATGTTGATGGTTGACCTAGATCAACCCATGAGTTTGAGCATTTGTGGTTCTCAAAATAAATCCACTTCTCATCCAGTCACAGTTCAATGCAAAAAAAGACTTTTCTTTCCTGTTGTTGAAGCAACATTTTACTGATGACTTTTCGGTTTTCCATTTGTCTTTTGTTCAGTTGATGTGGCACCCATTTTACTACCTTTAAAATCTTTCCCATTACTTGTAAACAAGTGGAAACTTTTGCTGAGCAATCTTTAATCTTTCTGCAAGTTGTTTTTCAGTTTGACACGCATCTTTATCCAATAATGCTTGTAAGTGTTGGTCTTCAAACTTTTTTGGTTGACCTGGAATTTCTTTGCCTTTCACATCAAAATCATCACTTTTAAAGCATTTAAACCAGCTTGTTCACCATAAGCTTCCTGAAGTATTCAGCAGCACTTTTCTTCAAAATAATGAATTATAACTTCCCGCAAATGCTTTTTTTTTGGCATGAAATTCGACATTTTTAAGTGTAAAAGTATCTATGTTAATACCTTCAGCAAATTAGACATATGAAGTTTTGAAGTTGTTGTCAATACAACAAAATAGCATATCAAATTGCATATATATCAACATATGTGTAACTCCATCTATTGAAAAAATCTGCATTAACCGGTACACATAGTACTATCTCTGTTAACATCTCCCCTCTCTACAGACGCTTCATAATACAGTGATGTCAACTTTGTCTCTAATTTATCCCTCTCAAACTAAACAAAATTTTAAATGATTACAAAGCAAGCAACAATGTGTGATTCCTTTTATTTTTTAATCCTCACCCGAGGATATTTCTAAAAATTTATTTGAGAGAGAGAAGAGATAGAGAAAAACATTGATGTGACAGAGAAACATCAATCCTCAGTTGGGGCACATCCCATATGTGCCCCAACTGAGGATCAAACCCACAATCTGAGTCATCTGGCCAGGGCACAATGTGTGATTCTTTAAATCCTAGTTTGGGCTAATGATAGTCTAAGGTTGCTATAAAGGACATTATTGGGGCAACTGAGGGCATTTAACTATGAACTAAAACTGCAGTGACATATCAACATTAAATACCTTGAATGTGGCCATTATATTGTGGTCATGCAGGAAACTAATGTGTATTCTTAGGACATTCTCACTGCAGTGTTGAGGTGTGTAGAGTCTAATATTTGTAATTCACTGTTAAATGATTAAAAAAAAAATAGAATCTAGCCCTAACTGGTTTGGCTCAGTGGATAGAGCGTCAGCCTGCAGACTCAAGGGTCCCAGGTTCAATTCCGATCAAGGGCAAGTACCTTGGTTGTGAGCACATCCCCAGTAGGAGATGTGCAGGAGGCAGCTGATGTTTCTCTCTCATCAAAGTTTCTAACTATCCCTTTTCCTTCCTCTCTAAAAAAAAAATCAATAAAATATATATTTTTTAAAATAGAATTTAAAAAAAGGGATGATGGGATTTTTTGGGTGCCTACATGTGTATACACAAAGGGATAAAGTGGCAAATATTAACTGGTGAATTTAAAGGATTTATGGATATTCATTTTACAAGTCTTGCAATTTTCTAAAAGTTTAAAACTTATTCCAAATGCCAGAAAGAAAAGTAAATACAAAAAATTGTAGGTAAAAGAGGAAAGGAAAAAAAACCTACAACCAGAAATAGGGCTATGTAATTCCAAAATTGCATGCTAAGAGAATAAGTGTACCTTAAAAAAAAAAAAAAAGAAAGGGGACCAAAAGTTATATGGCTTAAAATATCTTCCTTTGGTCAGAGAACAAATCTGCTGCATTATCAATGAAACTGGCATTCTGTATTATTTACTGTAAATATCTCAACAACTATGTCCTTGACTAAAGTTTTTAGTATATTTGCAAAAATGACTTCTTATCCTGATGCTTATTACATCATGTAGGACTTAGCAAAAATAACTTCTATCTTTAAATTTATAGTTTCTAAGGTTTCCTACTTATTTTTTAACGCTTACTTTCAAATATGCTTTGTTTGGATGGCCTACTTCTTAATTAAATTTAGTTGATATATTTTAAGAATCAAGTTCAATGAAAAATTATTGATTTGACCAATTGTTTCATTGAAAGCCTGATTAGCAAATGATAATTCTACTTTCTCCTGTGAGTCAGCAAGTTCTTCAAATCCAACATTAATAATAATGAAGCCAAATTATGCATTTCCTGCTTTAGAAAATGAATGGCACGATATCAATGATAATATAACACACAAAATTAATGTAATCACTAATACTAGAACTGTAATCAACTATAAAATAACAAAAATCAGTATAAAATTATTCTTTAAGAGTAAGAAAAATAGTAACAAATTTCTAAGACTTAGAAAATCCCAGTGATAGAATAATACATAATAAATATGTATATAATACATAATCAAGTTTAAGATGCCTTATTTTAAGATCTCTTAACACTAATGCTCTGAAAGGAGAAATGGAAATATCTAATTTCCAAATATTGCCTAGGTCATCTGGCGTCTGAAGAACAGAGTGGTGAAGTTTCTCGTCGAGCTGCAGATCTTTCTGTTCCATATGTTCTATATTCAGTGTAGAAGGGGAAGGTGTTTGTGACCTGGATCCCAGAGCTGAATGTACTGGAGAAGCACTTTCTGAACCTGTAGATATAATTTCATAAAATTAGCATAAAAAAGATACTCAATACCCTCTCTTTAAGATGTAACGCTTAAAGCCCCCAATAAACAGAAATTTAAAATATCAAAAGATAAAACAAGGTTATACATTAGCCAAAGAGATAAAATCATAATATTATACAAGACTTTGTATCTAATGGTCTCATCTTATGTTTACCAGGGAACTAACATGGAATCAGAATTGGACATACCAGCTAATAGAAGCCATCAGTGAAGGCAAGAATCTCTACTCCCAAACCTGGTTCAGCTATAGAGACTCTGGTACCCACTGCTATTCAATTTCATTTACTTTCATCTTGGGCAATTTGATTTATTTTATTATTTTTTTCATGTATTTTTATTGATTTCAGAGAGGAATGGAAAAGGAGAGAAAAACCAATGATGAGAGAGAATCAAGAATGGCTGCCTCCTGCATGTCCCCTACTGGGGATTGAGCCTGCAACCCAGGTATGTGTCCTGACCGGGAATTGAACCCTGACTTCCTGATTCATAGGTGGATGCTCAACCCCTGAGTTGCTGGTCAGGCTCTTGGGGCAATTAAAGAAGAACTTGCTCATTGGGTTCTATATACACTATGGTTGCTAGCCTGAATTAGAGTGGTCCTTGGTGGTCCTAGTCTTTCGTCTCCCTTTAACCCCTACCCCTTCTTCCTAATCCATTCTCCACAAGGAAAAATAAAATACACAAAACAACCCAAAAATAAAAAATCCTAAAAACTAATGTCACTCCCTAATTTAAAATCCTTCTATGGCTCTTTAGTGGACTCAGCACAAGCACAAACTTCTTAGTGTGGTTTTCCAATCTTTCTGCAACTTACCATTCTACTCTCTAATACAGTGATTTTCAACCTTTTACATCTTATGGCACACATAAGCTGGTTACTAAAATTTTATGGCACACCAAAAACTATTTTTTGCTGATCTGACACACACACACAAAAAAAGGTGTAATTCTGATTCATTCATACCGAACAGCTGTTGTTGTGTTGGCTATTGTCATATATATATATATATATATATATATATATATATATATATATATAGTAATTATTATTATTATTATTATTGTTATTTTGACAATCTAAGGAAAAAGAGGTAGGTCAGTGCCCTTGACTACATAGTCAGCTATTGCATGTTTTAAAAATTCTTGCGGCATACTGGTTGAAAATTGCTGCTCTAGTACTTTTAAGTTCTAGACAGAGAAAGTAAAACTGGTATTTATCAGAATGTATCATACCTCTGGCCTTTTTCACATGTTTTCCTTTACATGGAGCCCTAACCCTCTTCTTTTAGGTCTGGTTGACTTCTATTTATTTTTCAAGTCTCAGCTTAAACACTACTTTCTAAGAAGCCTAATCACGACCTGACCGAACCAGTGTGAATAAGGATTCTCTGCTGTAAGTCCTTGTATTTCCCCGTTATATCACTTATCACAATGACTTGAAACTGCCTGTTTAGTTTTAAATATTCTTCAGTAGCACATATACTCTGTAAGAACAGGGACTTATCTATGTTATATACTATAATGTCTGGCACACAGACACTCTTCTTATTTTTTTTTCATTCTTATTTTAAATTATATATAACGAAAATTAATATTGTATTTAAGAACTGGTGGTGGTTGTAGTGAAATACTGCTAGTACCAAGCAAGTAGTTAAAATATTAGGTATTTTCATTTTATTTTTAAGCTTCTTTCGAGCAGAGGCCCTAGCCTGGTAACTCAGTTGGTTGGAGAGTCATCCCGATAACACCAAGGTTGCTGATTCTTCCCTGGTCAGCAATCAAATACTAAATGCATTACAAAGTAGAACGACAAACTCATTTTTTTTTCTCTCTTTCAAAAAATCAATTAAAAAAAGCTTTCTAGTAGAGAAATATCAATATTCTGTACTCAATAATCATAAAATTCTCCGGCTATTACCTCTTTCCATACAATAAAGCAAAAAGCACACATATTAAGTACATGAAGTATATAAATAAAATGCGTATTATTTTATTTCCAAAAATATGTAATTTCGTATTATTTATATAATTTTTAAATATAACACAGTAAGTGCCTTAAAAAGTATACTACATATGGAGGTATGAATGCCTTAATGATAATCATATGACTTAATCTAGGTTCAATTATGACACATAGTATGTGGTAGATTTCCTGTCCTTCATTTGGAATTTGGTGTAAATTAATATGATACAAAATCATGTTAAAGGGCAGCTACAGAAACTTAAGGATACTACAACTTTAATACAAACACAAACTGCTGAGGGCACAATGAAAAAAGTCTCCTTAACATTTATCAAAAAATTTAAGTGTGTGACAAAAACAATCATTAGCTTCGTAGTCAAAAGCAAAAAAGATTTATTTTGCTTTATTATAAATATGTAAGTATATCCAAGATATGACATTAAATATTATTTAATTCTTATTATTTTTTAATCCTTGTCCAAAGATATTTTTTAATTTATTTTTAGAGAGAGAGTGAGAGAGAAAAAGAAACTTGGTTGTGAGAGAGAAACATCGAACAGTTGCCTCCTATAGCTACCCAGATTGGGGATTGAACCCACAACCTAGGTATGTGCTCTGATTGGAAATTGAACCTGGTTCAATCAACCAAGCCATTTGGCTAGGGCTAAAATATGAATTTGTAAAAAATAAAGATATAGGTATAAATATAGTCATGCCCACAAAACAATTTAGTTTTTGTTTTTATGACCTATGAGATTTATTATGCAGTTCAAAAAAGTTATAGGAAAACAGAGGGTATTTCAGGACTACTACATTCTTTGATAGACTACAGTTAATCTTAAAATTAATAGTGTGATAACTCATGCAAATTTCACCTTCAGAAAATAGTGTGTTGAATTCTTTATATATTGAGTATATAACGTTTCATTCTTTGATGAATTTTAGGTCTTCTAAACAAATGAATTCAAGAACTGTGTTAGTTTTTTAGAAAAACATCCCTGGCAACATTATTAATGGCCCTATTTACTTAATAAAAGAGTAACATGCCCACCAGCCAGTCAGGAGTGAGTATGCAAATTAACCCAACAAAGACGGCGGGTTAATTCCACAGCACCCCAACCACTCTGAGCCTGTGGGCAGGGAGGGAAGGCAGAAAGGCGGCTCCAGGCCAGAGCAAAGGCGGCGCAGGCAGTCTGGGGAAACAAGGCCCATCCTTGCACGAATCTTCATTCAGGCATCGGGCCACTAGTTAAGATTAGAATAACTAATAAAACTTCCTAGTAGAGTCCTAGTAACAGTCACTATGTTTGTATAGCAAACATGTTACTACATGAATATTAAAAATTCTTAGAAATTGCCAAAACCGGTTTGGCTCAGTGGATAGAGTGTCGCCCTGTGGAATGAAGGGTCCTGGGTTTGATTCTGGTCAAGGGCACATACCTTGGTTGTGGGCACTTCCTCAGTGGGAGGTGTGCAGGAGGCAGTTGATCAATGTTTCTCTCACATCAATGTATCTAACTCTCTCTCTCCCTTCCTCTCTATAAAAAAAAATCAGTAAAATATATTTTTTTTAAATTAAAAAGAAAAATTCTTAGAAATTGAATTAACTGAAAGTCATTATGAGGCAAAGGCCTAAAATAAGTTCTCTATACATATCAAGTTTTACTTTCAGAACTTTGCGTGAAACTTTATTTTTGATAACTAAAAACAAGTAAAAAAAAAAAAAGTGGAGTCATATTTCTTTTACATATTATAACCTTTTGAAGACACAATATTTTGATAAATAGCTTAAATAAAATTAAAATATGGCTTATATAATAAACATCTTTAGTTCACTCAGAGCAAGATGTTTAGAAAGTCTTACCTTCAAAAAAATAACTGGTCTCCAGATTAAGACAGAGACACATATGATGGGATTTCGAGTCACAGGCTAAGATGGTTATCAGTTAGATCTCTAAACTACTAAGCAAACTTCTCAGGCATTTTATTATTTCTATTTTAAAATTCCAATATTTTCAAGGTTCAATAATCTCTTCACACTGTCTAAAAATTTAGTTCTGCTAATATTACAATGTGTGTTACAGTAAAATCTAACACTTTACATTTTTATTCACACATTTTAAATGTATAATTATATAAAATTATATAGTCCTGTATTCAATAACACAATAAGAATATATAACAGATCATCACCATTTAAAGCTTTCTTTCTTTGTTTTTTTTTATAAATATATTTTATTGATTTTTTACAGAGAGGAAGGGAGAGGGATAGAGAGCTAGAAACATCCATGAGAGAGAAACATCAACCAGCTGCCTCTTGCCCACCCCCTACTAGGGATGTGCCCACAACCAAGGTACATGCCCTTGATCAGAATCGAACCTGGGACCTTTCAGTCCACAGACAGACGCTCTACCACTGAGCCAAACCGGTTTTGGCTAAAGCTTTCTTATGCCTATTTCCAGTTGATCCCCTTCCCTAACCCAAATAATCACTGATCTGCTTTGTCACTACAGTTTTGTCTTTTCTAGAATTTCCTATAGATGAAATAATAAAGTACGGTGTGTAGGCTTTTGTATTTTACTTCTCTCACTTAGCATTGTTTTCCTATATTAATATTTAATTCTTCTTTCTAGAGTACTATTCCACTGAATATTCAACAAATGAATACATAACATGAAAAGTTGGTAATAATTTACTGTATAAACATAGAATATTAGTATATTGAAAAGTAGGCTTAATAGCCAGTACACTTTACATTTTTTATAATTCTTGCCAAAGAAATTTATAAAAATTTAGGCTGATTCTGAAAGACAATGAAAAAGATAGAGTGTGGTAATTCTTAACTTTTGTTTGTAATCTATTTTAAAATTTCTGCAAGAAATGCTCTGATGCCAACATACACAAAAATTCATATACAATACTAGGAGTTCAGAGTCCACCGAAGTTATGCATGTAGATTTTTAGGTAAAAAAAAAAAATCTTAATTTTTTATCTATTATTACATAAAGGTGAATGAAAATATAATATTTAGCCCTAGCAGGTTGGCTCAGTGGATAGTGTTGGCCTGGGAACCAAAGGGTCCCGGGCTCAATTCTGGTCAAGGGCACGAACCCTGATTGCAGGTTCCTCCCAGCCCCAGTCCTGGTTGGAACTGGTACACAAGGCAACCAATCGATGTGTTTCTTTCACATTGATGTTTCTGTCTTTCCCCCTCTCTTCTATTCTCCCTTGAAAAAAAAAAAAAAAAAAAAAATCAATGGAAAAATATCCTCAGTGAGCATTAACAAAATAATAATAATAATAAAACTTAACTAGTTATAAGTAATACTTAAAATCTATCAAAATTAAATTCTAAACAGGCTCTTTGGTGGATTTAAAAAATGCATTTAAGAAATACATTCCCTGGAGTAACTTTACCAGTAACCGTTGCAACTTCAGCAGAGAAAGCTTGTTGATTAAGACTGCTTGTTTCAGAATCTATGTGAAGCGTGGTTAGACTAGCCACTTCTTGCTCTTCAGTACTCTGATGATGACCAGAACCTGAATCCACATCAGCAGACGATGCAATCCCAGTATCAGCTCCAAAGCCAAAATCTATAGGAAAAAGAAATGGTAGTACATAGAAGTCCCAATCACAAAACAAAAATGTCTACAAGAGACAGCTACTTCAGCAAAATAATTAAATATTAACCTTCTCCCTAAATCAATTCTATTTATATACTACTCACGCAAGTGGACATAATGCTAATGCTTGGAAGTTTACAATAAGAAACAATTTTTAAAAGTTCTCATACCTATTAACAAATAACAATGATAAAATAAAAACAACCACGCATATATCATCACTATTGTTATCCATATTTCTGATAGCTAGTAATACACTTACTGCTCTTAAAGTACTTTATAATCTTTAGTGTGTGTGTGTGTGTGTGTGTGGGTATGTATAAAGTAACATATATACATATAGATGATAAAAATCATTTTTCTTTTAAATCATATTTCCAGTCTGAAATAAGAGCAGTATATATCCATAAGGATGGCAAACATATAATTTCCAATGTATCTCCCAGCTCTTCATAAATTTGGTTCCCAAGGTTTTGACTTTCTTTTTTAAAATTTTGGTGTCCTTCACTGACTGCCAAGTGTAATACAGAATTACAGCAGAGAAGCTATACGGTAGTGTTATAATACCAAATAACATCACTGTTGTCATTTTAACATGAAGCAATTATTCAAGAAACATTCTGAGTAGTGTAGCAATAAACACAGCTGTACTGAACATTATGAAGCACTGAACACAATTAGGTTCCCAAATATGAGTATACAAAGTAGTGACAACTCAACCATGACTATCTGTCCTTTATTCTAATATCAAATCCATACTAATTTTTCCCTACATTTTTGTCTTTAAATCATTCATTTTATAAAAGGACAGTATTTTTTTTTTTAATGTCTTTAGTTTGACAAAATAAAGTGGCCTTGACTTGAAAATTATTCCCTAAAACTTTCTTTGGAATTTCACTGAAAAATTAAATCAAAATATGTGGGAAAAAGTGATGATCATGTGATTTATAAGTCAATCTTGAACAGAAAACAATAAACAAAAAAACAATAATGCTCAAATAGAAAAAGATACTTGCTGTCAAATTTTCGTCCATCATATTGGAAAGCACTGAAAGAATCCGAATGACTATCTGAGCTGATGAGATCACTGCTCCCTGCACTGGCAGGAGAAGTCCACTCTGAGGGTGCACCTGGGTCATCAATAGGACGCATTTGGTTCTGCTTGTTTAGAATATCAGGGAGGTCTTTGGGAATTTCGAGGCTGCCTGGACTACTTCCTCTTCTTGTTAGAGTCTAAAAATTCAAGAAACATTTATCATTTTTTAAAAGACCTAAAATTCTTACTAACATCTAAAATCTTTCATTTCTGAGTCAATTATCACAATAAATGTTGAGATTTGGGGCCTGAAGCAGGAGGGGAGAACACACTAACGCTACAACCTTCATTAACTGTATGGAGCTGGGAGCTGGAACCTGAACTACTGTTAGTGTGCCTAAAGCAAAAACCCAAATATCAGTTGGTTCTGGGCCTAAAACTCTTATACCTCAAAAGGATCCATAAAGTAAATGTAAGTTAAAAGAGTAGAAAGAGGAAAACATTCAAATGGAAAAAGCAGCAATAAGAAGAGACAGTGAAAGGAGGAAAGAAGGCCATTCTACAAAGATGTCATTCTATAATGATGCAATAAAGATAGTATTCTATAATGATTCTATCATTTTTTCCCACTCAAGAAAAAAAAAAAAAAAAAGGGTGGGAAATGTAATGGTCCTGCAGATTTTCATTAAAGACAACTTGAGTTGGTGAAAGAGGGTATACGGCAGTGGCTCTTAACCTTTTTCTTTTTTTCACAGTGTAAAATTTTTATATTTAGAATTAGACAGCTGGACTCAGTTTAGATGATTCCAATTTTGTTGGCAACATCCAAAGCATCAGAGTCAGGAGCCAGTCGAACATATGCCTTCTTCTCGCCTTAGGCCTGATCAGGGTGTTGACCGTGGCCACATCAATGTCACAGAGCTTCTTCACAGCCTGTTTGATCTGGTGCTTGTTGGCTTTGACATCCACAATGAACAAGTGTATTGTTGTCTTCTATCTTCTTCATGGCTGACTCGGTAGTCAGGGGGAACTTGACGATGGCACAGTGGTCAAGCTTGTTTCTCTTGGGTGCGCTCTTCCGAGGATATTTAGGCTGCCTCCGGAGCCTTAGTGTCTTTGGCCGTCGGAAGGTGGTGATGTGCGGATCTTCTTTTTTTGTGGCTGTGGACGCCTTTCAACACTGCTTTCTTTGCCTTCAAAGCCTTTGCTTTGGCTTCGGCTTTGGGAGGAGCAGGGGCTTCCTCCTTCACTTTTGGCGCCATCTCCGTAAAAAGGGTTTTCAGTTCTTAACCTAATGCCGTGTTCCTCATGTTGTGGTGACCCCCAACCGTAAAATTATTTTTGTTGCTACTTCATAGCTGTAATTTTGCTACTGTTAGTGAATTGTAATGTAAATACCTGTGTTTTCTGATGGTCTTAGGCTCTACCGCAGGATCACCTAACACCATCAGAAAACACAGATATTTACATTACAATTCATAACAGTAGCAAAATTACAGCTATGAAGTAGCAACAAAAATAATTTTATGGTTGGGGGTCACCACAACATGAGCAACTGTATTAAATGGTCTCGGCATTAGGAAGGTTTAGAACCACTGGTATAGGGGATGTAAGTGGTGATGAAATAAACAAACAAATAAATAAATAAATAAATAAATAAATAAATAAATAAATAAATAAATAAGACAAGGTGAAACTCAAATGGAATATGACCATTCTTTTTGTTGTTGTTGTTAATCTTCTCCGAAGGATATTTTTTTCCATTGATTTTTAGAGAAAGTAGAAGGGAGATGGAGAGAGAGAAACATTGAAGTGAGAGAGACACATCGACTAAACTGAGGGGCCAGGGATCAAGCCTGCAGCTAAGGCAGGTGCCCTAGACCAAAATCAAACCTGGGACCCTTCAGTCTCCGGGCCAGCACTCTGTTCACTGAGCCAAACTAGCCAGAGATGAACTATGACCATTCTAAAAGGCAATTCCACATATATTTATCTTTCCTTAACAATTAAGCATTATTAGGGATAAAATTGCTTCTATTTTTATTTTACCATAATTCTAATACTCAAAACAAAGACAACTTTTAAATCTATTTCAAAGTTATATGTAATGACTGAGAAATTTATGCTATCAATGTTAAGGGAGTTTGGCCATAACACTGGAGTTTGTTGTCTTTTCTGCTAAGGGCTGGCAATAGTAATCAGTGTGACTAATGAGCAAATAGAGGGAGGACTAAGAAGGCAGTAATTTATACCTAAGTAACTGAGCAAACAGGTATTCTAATGTTTTACTCTGGTCAAAACTATATGCCTGCTTGTTTTGTCTTTGAATGAAAAGTATGAAAATATAATTTAAAATTGTTTATTAAAAAGGGTTAAATTTGGGGGGAAGGCTGTTTGAAGAAAAATTTCCACATAATAAATATAGACTAGAGGCCCGGTGCATAAAATTCATGCACAAGGACGGATGTCCCTCAGCCCAGCCTGCACCTCTCTAATCTGGGAGCCCTAGAGGGATGTCCAGCTGCCCCTTTAGGACCAATCACCAATCAGGCCTAAAAGGGCAGTCAGATATTCCTCTCACGAACCAAGACTGCTGGCTCCCAACTGCTCGCCTGCCTGCCTTCCTGATTGCCCCTAGCTACTTCTGCCTGCCAGCTTGATCACCCCCTAACTACTCCCCTGCCAGCCTGTTTGCCCCTAACTGGCATTTCTGTTGGAACTTATCTTCTAGAATTGAAACTTTGCACCATTGAGTGGAGGCCTCGGCCAGCAAGGGCAGGCAGAAAGCTTGGCTTCCTCTATTGCTGGGGAAACCCAAGCCTCCCTCCTGCTCTCTGTGACGGTAGTCATCTTGGTTGGGTCTATTTGCATATTTGCTCCTGATTGGCTGGTAGGCATGGCTGGAGGATATAGTGGATGTATGGTCAATCTGCATATTACTCTTTTATTAGCTAGGATGAACATAGTTATACATCTTTTAGTTTCTCTACCCTCCTCTCTCAAACCAGATAAATAAAATAATACTTACTGAGGCATTACCACTTCGAAGTCGTTCTGCTATAAACTCATCCATCAGATCAGGAACATTAGCATTGCTGCTGCCAATATCACTATTAAGAGGAGGCAGTTTTGGGCTCATATCCTCTTTATTGACTGAAAATAAATAAATAACTATATATAGTGAGGAAATACTTAACCGCATTTTCTAAATGTGAAACAAGACCAACTCAAAACAATTTACCTATGCCATATCAATTATTTGCCAAACATGCATTTATAAATAATTTCTCTCCCTTTAGATTTAATTTTAAGAATTAGTAAATTGATATTTACTTTAACTAAGCAGATGTTAGTCAATCTTCAGTATGACCTTAAATAGCAAGAAAGCTTATAGATAAGCACTAGTTGGAGTTAGGTTAATATTGATTATAAAGAAACTGGTATATTTATCTTTTTTTCCACCTCTGTGCTTCTACGTAGTCTTAATTTATAATTCCCTTTTTTCCGAAAGAGTATTTGCAAGAAATATATCCCTTGAATCTATGAAAATCTCAGTGGGACATAAATGCATTTAAATTTAGATAATAAATAAAAATTCTATAATTTTGACATTTTGTTTCTATTCACTGCAAAATCTAATTTTATTGCTTTAATAAGAGATTTTCACGAATATTTTTCTGTAAAAAGGCCAAAATAGTTTTCTTGATATTTGTTTTGTTTTATCTTGATTTTTTAAAGATCTAAATTCTGATTAACATTACCAAGAAAGTGTTAAACTTGGGAATTTAATTTACAGAAAATAAGATTTCACTATTATGCCATTAAAATGTTGATTTCTCTTCAATTAAAAGAAAATCAGCACTTGTATTATTCCTAATTAACTACAAAGCATTTAAGGTTAAGGAAATACACTGATCAGGAGCTAATTGTGAAATACCATTATCTTTATATTAATGGCCAGGCTTTGCTAAGCTGTCAAATACTGCCCTCAAGTGGCATTAATGGCTCAATGCAAGTTGCATTCATTGTTAATCATGCTAACAAAACCATGTTAAACAAATAAAATCAAAACCTACCTTACTGCTGAAAGTGAATTTTCTATATCTATAAAGTTATTTTAAATGTGAATCAAGACAAAATAGTTATCATAATCTTGCTTTTTGTAATTTTACCATAGAGGTTCCATGTTTAAATCATGACTGGTTATCATGAAACCTTTATGCAGATCTAAAAATCTCAGAAAAGAATAAGTAACAATAAGTGTGCCAAGGGCATAACTTGCATTCTATACAAATGAATGCAAAACTTAATAGCCTATAGTTTGTTTGGAAATCACTTAAATAAAAAATACTTATATACACTTTCAGATTTAAGAAATTTCCTCTTCAATTACAGTTAACTAAAAATCTTGGTGCTGATTGTAGGACCTTGATTTCCATTATGTTATATAATGTCCAAGTAACATTCTACCAAGAAAGAAATATCAGCAGTAAAAATAAATGAACTCAATGATATAGCTAGTGCCCTTCTAAATATAAACTATAGGGGTGAAAGTATTCCAGCTCCTCAGAAAACTTAATTTCACGGCTCACATAGTAAACACTCAGAAAAAAATATTTAGATAACTTTTGAAAGGTCATTAAAATTTTTCTATATCTTCCTTTTTCTTATCTTATTCAGCAGCAAAGAGGTTTAACTAAATGCCTTATAAGGGAAATTAGTAATTTAAATAAACATTTTATGCTGGGGAAAAATATAGCTGGGGAAAATATAGCTGGGAAAAGGCGCATGCATAACCAAACAGAGAGAAAGCAGTGACCATCCCAAAGCTTTTTGATTGCTTATAGCTTGCTTCAGTTGCATTAAGCCAAACTGGTGCTGTCTTTTCTCCTTTTGCGCTCTGCACATTGTTAGTGCTCACCTGCAGCTTTCCTTCCAAAATAGCCCATTACATGACTGTACAGATCCCTCAGTGGAGCCTCTGGTGGCATTCTGTTCTGCCTCTGTGGGGAAACATTTGCCTTCGGCTTTGAAAGAGCATGTACAACAGTTTTATAAACGCCACCCAGGGAGCCCTGCGGTAGTCCTGTCTCATGACTGGATGATCTAAGAGTACTACGACTACCTGACTGGCTACTTGCAATTCCTTCCTTCTGTGACATGGTGGGAATCTCTGTAGACTCCTTAATTGTTTTACTACTTACTGATGTTGTTCCAATTGTATCTAGAGGTCTGTACACACCAGGTTTTACTAGCTCAGAAACACTATTTGAGCTTGTATGGGGGGCGTTACTGGCGTTGCTATTGCTACTACTACTGAAGCCACTGAGCTTCCGCAGTCTCATCTTCCACGGGGCCTCTTTGTTTTCCATGGGATTATAAAACTGAACTGACTCAGTAGATGGTCTAAAAGTAACATGAACACTAGTTCGTTTTTTAGTAGCAATTTTCATGATTTTGGCTCTATGAGTAACTGTTTCAGACAAGCTCCTTTTGGTTGGAGAAAGCTTGCTAGTGTTTGTAACATGAGGCATTCTACGGTTAACAGGTGCTTTTAGTGTGGTTTTCTTGGCATGCATAACATGAGGGACAGTTTTTTTTTCATTAATTTGCATATCCATAACCTTTTCAACTAGTGTTATATTTACACAAGCATCTAATTCTGTGGCTGCTTGTCGATATAGATATTTCCTCTTTTCTTTATCACAAGGGCTACCTGAACTAGGTTCCGGTGACTGTTGATCACTGTTTAGTTGCTTAGATTTTTCAGAAGTCCTTGTTCTCATAACACTATCTAATTGGTTAGATGAAGTATTATTCATGAAGACAGATGAGTTTTGTTCTTTTTGAAACTGTATGTTTACAGGAGTCCCAACAAAAGAGGTATTTTCTAATTTATTTTCTTGATCTAAGTATTCTAATTTATCTAAGGATGACCTTTCATCCCTGTTTACTGCAATAATCACTTCCTGAGAAGCTGCATCTTTACCTAACTCATTTTTACTGTGATTTTCCTGGTTTTCCTTAAAATATTCTTTCAGGGAGGAAAGAAGATCATCATCTCCTTCAAGGTCAATGTACTGGATTTGTTCAAAAGCTGAATCTGCGAGTTCTACTGGATCTATTAAGTGACAAAGATGGTCATATATGCTATCACCAACTTCCAGAGAAGACTCTCTACTATGAGTATCAGTGATGTGGCTTTCAGTGGATCTAGTTATTGAAGAAGCCTCTGTGGAACTCTGCAAGCTTGGCGCATGACGGGACGAACTGTCAATGACAGGAACTGCACCTTTGGCTCGTTCAACAGTGAATGGTTCCAAGATGTCAGAAGTGCTGCTACTTCGAGGCAATGGCTGTTCCTCATTCAAAGCACCAAAAACTTCATTCCCAGTGTCTTCACTTTGTGAAAAATGTCTGACTCTAGTTGGGCGGGGAAGTATTTGAGTATCATCAATATCTGTAAAAAAGAAATATTACATAGAATAGAATGATATGAATATGAAAATAAGTATTACTTTCGACCATACTCTAGTCATATGCTTAAAAATAAAAAATTCTGAGATTTTTTTGTAAGCTCAATGAAAAAAAAATCTATTAAAAGTACAGATATGTTTTTAAATAATGATGGGCACAAGCCAATATAGCAGTGTCAATGAATTAGAGAACTATCAGAATACATTTTAAAATGTTAACATGCATAAAAGAGACAGTAAGGTGATGAAACATTTGGAAGTGCAGTTAAAGATAGAGCTGTGCCAATAAATCAAGCAATTCAAACTGCTGTTCAGTTTTTCCTACTTCAGTTCCAAGCAGAAAAACTAGATCTTACCATAGAAAGCTGGTCTAACTATACCACTGCGAAGTCTAATAGGGTCTCATAGATTCCCCTTTCCTTCCTTACCAGGCAAGAGTCATCATCTTTTCTTCAAATCGTGCCTATCTGTTTGATCATGTATTACAAATGAAAATCTCCACCCTCCTCCTAAACTCCTCTTTATCAGGAAACTATCTGTTCTATGAAGTATTTTGTGTAATTTTATTATAGCATTAACATCTATTCAACCCTATCAAATAAAATCAATATACCGTTTTAAAAAACCTAATTGTATTTTAAATTTCTGACTAAGATACCATTTATTCCTAGGAAGAAACCTTCTCTGCCTATCACAGCCCTTTCCATTAAACAACCATCAAACCTTAAAAACTGTCTACTTTAACTCTCTCACTGAGGAAATCGAGGCTTAAAGAAGTGAGGCCACTTTCTCAAATTTATAATCATAGTTTGAGAAGCAGGCTTAGTGTTATTACATTGTTTTTTGTTGCCTGAAATGCTAAATATATAGTAAAGGCTCAAAAATATTTATGAAATCAGAAATAACAAAATGGAACACTATTTAACTGTACAGAAATATATAAATTAGAAATATTAAAAGTAAAATACATTTTTAAATTTATCATGGCCTTTATATTACCTAGAAATAACAAGTATTTTTTCAGAAGCCAGCAAAATATAATGAAAAAAAGAACACAGTCAAAAAGTCAGATATTGCCAAAACCGGTTTGGCTCAGTGGTAGAGCGTCGCTCTGCGGAGTGAAAGGTCCCGGGTTCGATTCCAGTCAAGGGCATGTACCTCGGTTGTGGGCACATCCCCAGTAGAGGGTGTGCAATAGGCAGCTGGTCGATGTTTCTCTCTCATCGACGTTTCTAGCTCTCTATCTCTCTCCCTTCCTCTCTGTAAAAAATCAATAAAATATATATATATTTTTTAAAAGTCAGATATTGTTACTGTTTAGGTTTATAACACAAAGGTAATAAGCAACAGGATTATAATTGAACAATCAAAATGAGAATTTAGACGCAGAGTAAGACAGACCTTGTCCAAGGTCACGTAGTAATTTATTGATGGTGCTGTCTAGAACTTAGGCTTTCTTACTTTAGACACTGAGATCAGTTTTCTCATTTTAAAAATGGGGATAGCATTCAAATCATTTTCAGGATTCATACTATGGATGAAAGGAGACTAGTCTTCCTATTATTTCATTCATATCATCCTCTTTGTCTGAGTTCCAAAAGGAGCCACCTTAAACTAAATTCAGGTCAAGAGAAATTTGTATTATGCCAAGATTCCACTATATTCCTGAAAATATACATTTATACTCTCTTCATAGGTCAAATTTTACAAAGTTAAACTTCCTTTATTAAGTTGAGAATATAATATTAAAATGATGCTGGCTTTCTTCTTCATGACCCTCTCCCCAGACCCCTTAGAAATTCTTCTAAATAAGAAGTAAAACATCTAAGAATTTTCATATTTATGTATATATACTTATTTATTATTGCAGCAGGTAACTAATGCATATTTGTGCATCTTGATGAATATTTTGAGTTGTTACCTCTCTCACAATTGATAATAGAATCTCTGTACATAGGACAGAATTTGTTCAACGTGCACAAATATTCTTTTATTTTGCACAAAATATTTTTTCCACAAAATATTCTTATAGGAGTCAGCAAAGTTTATGGCACTATATTATTTTTCTATAAAAATTCTTAAGAATTATGTAGTTGAAATTTTATCAGCTCCAAATTTAAAACAAGATCACAAGCCTTACTAAAATTTAATGTTATAATACTATCAAATAAATGAACATCAAAAAGTAGTTTTAATTTTTAGTTTCTTTTATTGATATCTCATTCTAAAGCCAGTAAAGATTACTGTAAAGTTGTTTTTAGAAATTTCTTCCCAAACCCAGTTTCCCCATTGCATATTAGAAAATTTAACCATTTATTTTAGCCTAAGTAGTTTCCTAAACTTTTGTAACCACATATGAATATCTAAAACTTTTATGCAAGTTTAAGAGATGTTTTAAAATATATTTTTCTATCCATAATACAGTGTTAAAGAATTTAAACAAAAAACTTTATGAAAGTTTTAAGGTTTAAATACAGTTCTTACATCAGCATATGACAATACTAATTGCATAAACTAAAAGAAAATAATTGCTAACAGAAAGCCAATGTCAGCACTTGCATAATTGACTCTAATAAGCCTTAAATTGAAAGAAATACAGTAAAACCTTGATATAATGAACTAATTCAGAAGAGAGGTTGTCTGCTAAAGCTGAAAATCCATTATAAAAGGAGGTTTTCGGAGTTGGTCCGAAGGTTGTGGGTTATTGTTAAGCTGATTAAAAGGAGGTTTTCGGAATGCATATGTTAAGAATTTGACAAATTAGAGAGTGTAACTTTTTTACTTATGTAGACATGTTTGTGTAATTAAAATTATTTATGAGAGTTTAATTTCACAGAAAACTGTTCCATATGTATTACAGCAATTTTAAATTCTTACTGAATAGGTCTAATTAATGTGTGCATTCAACCAGACACCATGAGTAAACAAATGCACACAGCTGAGGTGTGGTTTAGTGCATGTCGGAACATAAGCCAGTATGCGATAAATCTGCTACTGAAAGTCATGCCACGTGCCAATAGAACCAATTACTGGGTGTGATTTGGTGTGATCACAAGTTAATAATTCTCCAAACACTGTTTACAAGCAGTGACTCTTGTATTTAAATATAAATAGTTGTAGATACATAATATTTATGTTGGTGAAATTACTAGTGTTTTTTCCAACATATGGCCTCGTCACTATAATTTGTTAAAAATAACAGTGAACAACAAAAAAAACAATAACCTTGTTGATTTAATTATAAGCAAATCTTGGTTAAAGCATTTTAAGATTAACAAGGTGTTAATTTTCACAAATGACATATGGACTGTAAGTTTTGTCCATTAAATCTGAAGTCTGTGAAACTGAAGTCCACAAAATTAAGTGTTTACTGAATAACTAAACTTTAAAGAGAAAAGGCGAAATAATAGCTAAATCAAATATAGTCTTTCCTACACCCTACGCATTGTTCTAAGAATCTTATATATATTAACTCATTTAATCCTCATAACAACTCTGTGAAGTAGGTGTTGTTATCTCCATTTTATACATGAAAAAACAATTTAAGTGATCTGCTTTAGGTTACACAGAAAGAGGAAAGTTGGGATTAGAAGAAAAATCTTAGTGCACGTCCTTATACTCTTGAATAATATATATTTATGAAATAATTCATTAATTTTTTAAGTTGGTAAAAATTATATTAAAGCAGCACAGTGAATTATCTCCATAAAGATAAAAATCATAAAAGTCAAATATTTGTAAATTATACAAAAGAAAACAATTGACAGTTTGTATTAGATTGCTGAAAATAATGGTGCCATCAAGTTAAAATAAAAATGGCCTTCACAATAATCTAATTACCCTACTTATATTTTAACTTAAAAAATAACAGCCTTTAAATTAAATTAGTTTAACATAAAGTGTTAGTAAGCATTGAATGAGCAAAACAAGAAAAAATGTTTTTTAATAAACTAAAAAATATTTTTGAACATTGAGAAAATGGTTCCTACAAAATATTGGAAATGTCAGTTTTATCTCTGGATTTCCTTAAAATACTTAGCATTAAAATTTTCTGAATTAAAAAGTAGGGTGTTTTTTTTTTTTATAATATCCTGCTTCAGAAAAAAAACAACAAACCTTTGCTATTTCAAAAGATAAGCTATAAATTAAAGCATAATGTATAAAGTAAATAATTCCTTACACTATAATTTTTTATTAATAGCATAATATCCTCATTGCTTAAAATAGCTCATCACAGAGCAGGAGCTCAATAAAATTTTTAATAATTTCTAAAATAAGGTACAGAATCAAGTGCCCAAATCCCTTTTACTAGAGTTAAATTCCATTAAGTCAATCATAATAGCGATCGGTAATAATACATATTTTTATAGCTCCTGAATTCATTAAAATCATTTACATTAGTATACCGAAATTGATGCCACTGTGAAGCTCAAGATTTTTTTCTGGAACTGCCTAAAGGAAATGGCAATGTCCTTTATGTAATATTTGCCTATTTGGGCAAAAAAAGCAATGTACCTTCAAGGAAAGCAAAAACTATAGAGCATTCTATTTATAATTTTACTAACAGAGGCTATGTAAAACACTCTACATCTTTTTAAAGACTAGGTAATTCAAAGCAGTTAACTACATCACTGACATCATGAAATGACTAAAAAGCAATAAACCAAATTTAATTAATTTTCATTTTAGACCACTAAAACTTAAACCACTAAACTATCTTTTGTCCTTTTATCCTTCTAATAATTTTTTCTTTGACTCTTAATTCTGGAAACAGGCAAATAACCATGGATCACCTTTTATGATAAGGAAAGTATACTGCTTAATTTGTTTATAAACATGTTATATAATGTCGTGTTTAAGTTAGCTTCAGATTTTTCCTGCAATGTACTTAAAAAAAAAAAGTACAAAATTTTTCAGCAAAAAATTTCTATCTTAGAATTATGCTTAACCCAGATTATAGGCAGAAAAGCTGTGAAATCTTACT